ATGATGGGGCCTTGCTCCTCACCAGGACTATTGGGGCTGTGTTTAAACGGCCCACATCTTTATTTTTTTCTCTGTTTTCTTTTGGCTTTGGGAACGGCATAATTTTACACCATTTTACCAAACATACTGAGAACGAAAACTTCAAGGATGATGTTAGAAAAATGTGATTTCTAGAACTTGTTGTTTGATGTTAGCAAATCATGGAATGTTCTACGTCTCTGAGGGTTTACAGTGAAGTGCTGAGGACAGTGTTTATCCTAACTAGTTTTCTTAGATGGAAACAGAGACATTGAGCCCTCTCTCTTGATTTAGTAAACCACTCCAGAATGGCCACGGGTTTCCCAGAGTTCTATGGTCTTCCCAAGAGAGTTTTTAATTGTAAATGCAGACTTGGGAAAGACTTAGACTTTTAACCTGGTTTTTTGCTTTTGCTTTTCCCTGACTCCCTTTGCTCGGAGTCAGCTGCACACCAGTAGGATGGCATGCTACGATCAGTTTCTGTCCTGAATGCTTTGCCTCTTTCTTGGCAAAGTTTCTGGTATGGTCAAGCTTGTAAATAACCTTTTTTTACATTTTAATCTTTTCCATTAATTAAGAGGTTGAAAAGAAGCGCAGTGTAAGAAAACCCAGCATTTTAATTACTTGCAAATTAAGGTAGCACGGACTGGGTGGTGTGTAAATGTTGAATCAGATCTCAATCATGTAGCAGAGGGGCATCAGGCCTGCTGCCTGCTAGTGATGGACACCCAGGTGGAAAGTCATGATTTCCAGCTCATGGAGCCAGCATTTGAACCTTGAACAAATAACTCTCATTTATGATTTCCCATCAACATTTCCTTTGCTCTGTTTGTAGCTGAATGTTATATTTTTAAAATCTCTGTTAAAGCCAGAAGAGTTGATTATGAATGGGTCACAGCAGCCCTGGCAAGCTGGGCCAAAAAATTTCACTAGGTCAGTAATTTAAACTTTGGATCTGGAAAAAAATTATTAATAATAATGTGAAGCAAACCAACTTAAAAAGTGATTCTTGCACATGAATTCTCACATGTTGATATGTGTTTTTTAAAGAGCCTCAGTCTGACTGATTTCAAACACTGTTTTTCTTCTGTGTATTGCTTTTAAGAGAGCCATCAGTTAGCTATCAGACTCTAGGTTGATGCATTTTTGTACTTAGCTGTACTGTGTGATATTTTTCATTATTTTAGGACGCCAACATGAGACCTGTAATAAAATATGTAATGGGGTTGAAAGCTGGGGAGGAGGATCTACTGCTGTACAGCTAATAAATCATAACGGATTAACAGGCGCTCTGTAGACTCCATCTTTTGTGATTCCTGTTTGCTGGGGTCCCTCAGGGCCTGTGCACAGCTTCCTCTGCAACAGACTGTAGATAGATGGTCCTGGTAGACAATAGCATATGAAATGCAGCCTGCTTCAAGTTGTAGTGCCTCCAGGTGTGGAGTAGAGAAGTGCATGGTTACACAGCCTCCTGCTTCCACGATACACCCGAGATGCCTGTAATTTACACAGCAGGCCTGGCCAGAGGGTGCTGTGTCCTTGAGATCTACTTTGGAAGGTTTACAGTCAGTCCTAGTTTCTAGCTAGACAGGGAACAGAGAAACTGAGCTCAACCTGTGAGAGACAAAGAACATTGAAAAGGTAAGACAGGCTGAGGGCAAACTTGGGTGGTGATTCTTAGTCCTTAGCTTCACAAGGGGATTTAGAGACTTACGTTGTAGTGGAAACACACTTTTTTTTTTTAATTGTGCATACAGCCTTTTGTCTGCAGGCCAGCAGAGGGTACCAGATTTCATTCAAGGTGGTTGTGAGCCACCATGTGGTTGCCGGGAATTGAACTCAGGACCTCTGGAAGGACAGTCAGTGCTCTTAACCGCTGAGCCATCTCTCCAGTCCCCATGGAAACACACTTTAACTTCAACTGGGGTGTCGGTGGTGGTGGGGTGTATGTGGGGGAGGGGCTTGTTTCACCAAAAATACTCCTTACTGGATTTCTCCTGTCTCTGTTATTTCATCAAAAGTCTAGTATTGCCGGGCGTTGGTGGCACACGCCTTTAATCCCAGCACTCGGGAGGCAGAGGCAGGCGGATTTCTGTGAGTTCGAGGCCAGCCTGGTCTACAGAGCGAGTTCCAGGACAGCCTCCAAAGCCACAGAGAAACACTGTCTCGAAAAAAAAACAAAAACAAAAAAGTCTAGTGTTTACTGGTTTTCAGATGCTTTTCTGTGAGAAAAAAGGCAAAGGGCAAAATTCATACAGCTTGTAGCTGCTAAGAAAGTCCCTTTTCCAGAACAATCAGTTGTTGATCAACATCATCAGTGTGCCCCCACCCTCTGCTTTAAAGAGTACATCAGTCTTGGCTGGTTTGTTGGGGTCAAGCAGGAAGTGAGGTTCTGATGGAGCTAAAGAATGGTTTTGCACAAATGCATAAGTCCATTAAACCCCTCAACATCAGAAGCTGGTCGTCACCCCTATTCTATGAGAAAACTTAAGCACATTACTGAGCCTACAGTAATCTATTGTCTGAATTGTATTCTTTCCATTCCTGGCCCAGCTTCAGCCCTATCCACCGCTGACCTGTGATGAATGAGCCGTGTGCACTAACTGCTCTCAGCAGCCAGTTTACTTGTTCCTGATGAGCTTCGACATCACCTGTAGAACCTGCCTGAGTGTTCTTGGTCTCAGATTTCTTTGTCACTACTGTACCAACCACAAACAGCTTGGTTACCTCTGCAGATCCTGTTTTTCCCAGTAGTCCCGTCTGTCTCTAGCCCTCGGGGCATAGAACTAACGCTGTTAGTGCTGTGTCTGGCCTTGACCCAGAGCACTTCTGTAGCCCTTTGACAAACACCCCTTATTTTAATCAGAAAAGTCCTAGGGGACACGGATAGGTTTTCTGTTTTTGAAGTCCCATAGTTGCCATGGTAGACTTGGTAGATGGAATACACATCTCTCAGTGAACATCGGAGCCTGGCGCCTGACACACCACTGTAATGCCAGCACTTGGGAGAAGCTGGCCCTGTGCTCACAAGCAATTCTGGCACTCAGGAAGTGAAGCAGGATTGCCACAAGTTTAAGGCCAGCTTGGACTACAGGGAATGCAAGACCCTTTATCAACAAAAAGGGAGCTGGAGAAATGGTTCAGTGGTTTCTTGCTTGCTGCTCTTGTAGAGGACCAGAATTTGGTTCTAACACCCACTGCAGGCAGGGCACAATTACCTCTAACTCCGGGTGATCTGATGCTGAACCAAGTTCTGAGACTATCTCAGGTGTCCCTCAATAGCTTCCAAAAGACTAGTGAGGCTGTCAAAATTCATTCACTTCGCCTTCCAAAACCCACATGCCATAATGTGCATAGGACTAAATTCTATCACCCTATGAGCTATTTGTGAATTCCAGATGGCCTTAAAGTCTTCCATCTCAGTCTCGGGCTGAGAGGCATCAGAACGTCTTGGTCTGTCTACATCTGCTCGCTCCCTGTCAGCCTTTAGTTGTCCTACCATGTACCTCTTAAATGGCTGTGTTGTTCCCCAAGTTGTTTCTCCATTTCTGCTTCCCATCTTGTCCTATGATTTGATGAAAATTGGCAAACGCATTAAGAGGCTTGTTCTCATCACAGTACAGGGACTTGGACTCGGGTTTCACATAGGCAAAGCAAATGCTCCTGGCACTTAGCCATTTTATTTTGAAGAGACAGGGTCTCTGTGTTGTTCAGGTTGTTCAGAAAGTTGTGTGGATTCAGAATGACTGAGACTTGGTTAAGTGGGTCCTTTCTAGAGGCTATGCCTAGTCTCAACCCCAAGTCTGGGAAGGGTAGGTAGAGATGGGAAAAAAGCTGAAGAAGAGCTTACCTAATTCATAGTCTTCGACTTTCCAGGACATTCCATTTCTCTCTAGCTGAACCACGAGAAGGACAGTTAGAAGTGGGATTTAATAGAAGTCTCGGGACACAGTTTTCAATCTATGAACCATGAAGTCTAGTCCCTGGACTTTTGTACAATAGTATGCTTCTGGCTAGCATACTCTGACAGACTTTGTTTTGTTTTTGGAGATAGGGTTTCTCTGTGTAGCCCTTGAACTCACTCTGTAGATCAGGCTGGCCTAGAACTCACACCCATCCTCCTGCCTCTGTCTCCTGAGTGTTGGGATTAAAGGTGTGCACCACCACACCTGGATGATCTCCAGCTCTAGCTTCCTTCTCAAAGGAATTCTCCCTAAACTTAAACGTAGACAACATGAGGACACAAATGTAGTGTATTTGGCATTTGCTCATGAGTCACTCCTACATTCCCTAAAGTTCCGGCCATAATTAACAACAGCTGTCTTCCAAGAGCCCCAATCCCGAGTGGTGATAGTGTATGTCTTTAACCCCAGCACTCAGGAGTCAGAAGCAGGCAAATCTCTGAATTCAAGCCCAGCCTGGTCTACAGAATGAGTGAGCTGTGGAATGACCAGGGCTGTTACAGGGAAACCCTGTCTCAGAAAAAAGAAAAGAAAAAAGAAACCCAAAATAATAATAGTAATAATCCCCAATCTAATGAAAGGAAACTGCTACAAAGGAATACTATGGCTTTTGTTTGTTGTTTGAGCTTTTTTTTTTTCTAGACAGAGTTTCACTATGTAGCCCTGGCTGTCCTAGAACTCACTCTGTAGACCAGGCTTGCCTCGAATTCAAGAGTCTGCCTCCTGAGTGCTGGTATTAAGAGCATGAGCCACCACCGCTGGGTTTTTGGGTTTTGTTTGTTTTGTTTGTTTGTTGAGACAGGGTTTCTCTGTGTTGTCTTGGCTGTTCTGGAACTCACTATGTTGACCAGACTGGCCTCGAATTCACTTACACCTTTTTCTGACTTCTTTTGAGTACCTACTACACCTACCCAACCTCTGTCTTGGGACAGACCAAGTTGGGCGTATGCAATCCCCTGGAGAGTGGCGCCCCCTGGTGTTCGCATCAAGGACTATGTGTCGTGGGTGAAAGTAGGGCACGAGGATCCGCAAGAAACAGGCAAGACCTTCTCCGCTACACTATTCACCACACCCATGAGTACCCGGACACGGAAAAGTCCCTGAGTGACAGCAGCAGCCAGGATTCGACCTCCCTCCCACAACCTCCAACGCGGGCGAACTCGGCCTGCGAAGCCCAGGCGGGGAGGGGCCGGGTCGGGGGCGGCCTGGCAGGAAGCGGCGCGTACCTTCCGCTGCAGGAGGAGCAGGTGGCTGCCGTGCTGCCCCGGGCCCCAGGCTTCCTGTGTACGCTCCCGCTGGCTGCTTTTTCCCGCCAGAGCTCATTGGGCCACCCGGGCCCTATGGCTCAGACCCCAGACGGCATATCCTGTGAACTGCGAGGTAAGCCCTGCCTGGCCTTTCCTGGGAGCCCACCGCTAAGAGGTAACCTGACCCCAACGAGACCTGAGCTCCGTGCCTCGGGGAACTTGACCAGAGGGGTTCTGTTCTGGCGGGCCAGTGCCTAAAGACCCGCTTCACTTCTTCCTAGCCGATCCATAGATAAACACCCAGCCTAGCACAGTCCTTGGGCACCGAGTGGGAGGACAAAAGTCACCCAGCAGACTGTTTTTCCACAGGCGAGATCACCAGGTTCCTGTGGCCCAAGGAGGCAGAGCTGCTGTTGAAAACCTGGTTTCCCCAGGAGGGTGCTGAACAAAGTCATATCCTGGTATGACAGCCACCAGTAGAGTTCAGGGCAGTGGCCAGGCCCAGCACATAGAAGCTTGGTTTGCCTAGAATACCAGTATTTTGTCTCCCCCAGGCACTGCTTCGATGGAGGGCATATTTGCTGCATACCTGCCTCCCGCTGAGGGTGAGTCCAGGCCCGGCCAACACTCCTCTCCCCTTCAGTGAGGAACTTCTTTTGCAAGGATGCCCCTTTTTACCTGTGCTAGCTTTTACTTTCCAACAGCACTGGGCTTCCAGCAGCAGACAGGAACGGAGTCTGGACAGGTCTAGCTCTGGACTAGACTCCACAAAATCATGGGCTGGATTTAATTCCCAGCACCACAAGGAAACTGGCTGGGACTCTGGTTTCAGGGGACCCACTGCCCCCTTCTGGCATCTTGGGCACTGGGTATCAAGTGGTCTACAGACAAACATGAGGACGGAACATCCAGTAATAAAAACTGTGCAACACAAGCTAGGGTCCAGAGAGTGGCCTCAGTTAGCCCTAGATGGTTCCTGTGCTCTCTAGGTGGACTGCACATTCAGCTACCTGGAGGTCCAGGCCATGGCACTGCAGGAAACACCTCCTCAGGTGAGACAGCTGGACCCCCACCTTGAACCTACACCCTGCTGGATCATTTAACCCTAAACATGGAGTTCTGGACAAACACTAGCTTCCAAACACACCGATCCAAAAAGTGCCACAGTGTCACCTCCCCCAGGTCACCTTTGAGCTGGAGTCCCTGCCTGAACTGGTCCTGGAGTTTCCGGGTGTGGCTGCCCTAGAACAGCTGGCCCAGCATGTGGCTGTAGCCATCAAAAAGGTTTTTCCTCGCTCGACCCTCGGGTGAGGCCTGGAGAACCCAAAGGGGCTGGAGGGCACTAGTGAGCTGCTCTTCACCCCTCGGAGGCTACACGTCCCTTGCCTCTTCTCCTTTATCCCCAACCTAGGAAGCTGTTCCGGAAGCCCACACCCTCGTCCCTGCTGGCTCGACTGGAGAGAAGCCTTCCCTCAGAGTCCACATCACCCAGCAGTCCCTGTGGTGAGAGCCAAACCACAGCCCCATAAATCTTCCAGGTTGTCTCCGTGCAGCCCCAGGCCCTTGGTATTAGGGGCTCCCAGAGCCCTCCATTATGCCCCTGCTACTTCCCTAGGTGGCTTCTTGGAGACATATGAAGCTCTGTGTGACTACAATGGCTTCCCTTTCCGAGAGGAGATTCAGTGGGTGAGAGAAGGGCCCTTTCTGGGAGCTCTGGAGATGTCGCCCGTGTGTGCTGAATCCCTCTATCCTTTGTGGCCCCAAACCAGCTGTGGATACTTTCCTTCCTATCCAGGATGTGGACACTATCTACCACCGTCAAGGCTGCCGCCATTTCTGCCTTGGAGACTTCGCCCACCTGGGCAGCAGGTATGAGGCTTCCCAGGATTGGGAGGAGAGGACTTCAGGAACCATATTCCTAGACTTGAGCCTCTCTGCGGTGGGGATGCTGGCTGGGCCCAGTATCTAGAAGGCCCAGAGCTCTGTACCTCTTCTTCCCCATGCCAGAGACCTGGCCTTGAGTGTAGCTGCCTTATCTTACAACCTGTGGTTCCGGCGTCTCTCCTGCGTGGACATGAAGCTGGTGAGGATACACAGCAGGGCATGCCAAGGGCACAAGGGTCAAAGTTCAGCCTAATGAGTCCTGGCCCTCTGGTGTTAGAGCCTGGAGGTCTCAGAACAGATTCTACACATGATGAGTCAATCTTCCCACTTGGAGGAGCTGGTGCTGGAGACCTGTGGCCTCAGAGGGTGAGAGGCCTGAGCAGGGCTTGGGACTGGGAACTAGCGGTCTCTGGCGTGATTGGGAATCAGTCTTACCCCAGGATCTTGATCCCCAGAGACTTTGTTCGGCGACTGGCCCAGGCCCTGGCAGGGCATTCTAACTCTGGACTTCGGGAGCTCAGCCTGTCTGGGAACTTGCTGGATGACAGAGGTATGGCAGAACCTGGGAGACCCACGGCAGACAGCTGCGGGAGGTGGAGTTCACTTAGCTGCTCTATCCACAGGTCTGGCTGCACTCAGCAGACACCTAGAGCATTGTCCAGGAGCCCTGAGGAGACTCAGCCTGGCACAGACAGGCTTGACACCTCGAGGTGTGCGGGGCTGCTGAAGGCTGGCGTGGAGGGGGAGCAGGCTGTGGGATTCTGAGCTACTTGGTTCCTCTCACTGCCTCCAGGAATGAGGGCTCTAGGCAGGGCACTGGCAGCCAACGCCACCTTTGACTCCACCCTGACCCACCTGGATCTTTCCGGGAACCCTGGGGCACTGGGAGCCTCTCAGGACAGTGGGGTGAGTGGCAGGTTTTGAAGTCAGGAATTGGAGCTGCCCAGTCAGTGGGCTGCCAGGAATCCTTAGGCAACCCCTGGCCCCCTCTTTCCCACCCTCCACAGGGCCTGTACACTTTCCTGAGCCGTCCTAACGTTCTGGTGTTTCTGAATCTGGCAGGCACTGACGCCGCCCTGGGCACGGTGAGAGTGTGGTTGTGGGGGATATTTGGTGGGACAGGGTAGGCTGCAGAGCAGGGCCAGGTCTACGGGAAGGTTACCACCAAAACTGCCTTCCCTCAGCTCTTTGCAGCGTTATCTGGTGGCTGCTGCTCCAACCTCACCCGCCTCGAAGCTTCAAGGAATATCTTCTCGCGCACGTAAGGAAGGCCCGGGAGGAAGAGACTTCGGGAAAGCAGTTCTGTGAGCCTGAATCCCACGTCTCCCTCTCCCCACCCCACCGCAGGAAGTCCAAAGCGGCACCGGCCGCGCTGCAACGCTTCCTCGGCAGTGTCAGGATACTGCAGCACCTGGGCCTGGCCGGCTGCAAACTGCCACCGGAAGCGCTTAGGTCAGTCTTGCTACCCATGGCCACGCCCCCACGCGTTCAGTCACGACCTTGACCAGACCTCCACTGTCCACTTTATTCCCCACTCCCATCTTCCATAATCCCAAGCTGCCTGGCGCAGGCTTATTCGTTTGCACCCTGAGTCCCACTTTCCCAGATCTTGTCACCTGTGTGACATCCTTCTTCCAGGGCCCTTCTAGATGGCCTTGCGCTCAACACGCAGATCCATGACCTGCACCTGGACCTCAGCGCATGTGAGGTAGGCACCTGGTCCTGGTGGTGAACCGGGAGCATGTCCACATAAATATCCTGAGTGCATCCTTACCTCCACCTCCAGCTGCGCTCCGCGGGTGCCCAGGTGATACAAGACTTAGTCTGTGACGCCGGTGCCTTGAGCTCCTTGGATCTGTCAGACAATGGTGAGGCTGCCGGGGAACCCATCCACACTCCCTGATTCCCAGGATGGGGACCCCGCCCTGGCAGCATCGACTTGTGCATCACCCTAGTTACCCCCAGGCTTTGGCTCCGACATGGTGACTCTGGTGCTTGCCATCGGGAGGAGCCGGTCTCTGAAACACGTGGCCCTTGGAAGAAACTTCAACGTGCGGTGCAAGTGAGCCCCAAGCCGATCTCTATACCCCTCAGATAGGACTCCACCACTCAGATAGTCCCCTAACAATGGCCCCCTGCCCACAGGGAGACCCTGGACGATGTCCTGCACCGGATAGTCCAGCTCATGCAGGACGATGACTGTGTGAGTTCACAGAACCTGGGGGTGCCTCAAACAATTAGCCTCTTGCCACGCCTCTCACTTTGCTTCTTCAAACCCTCTTTGCTGAGCCTGATTCCGATCGTGCATCAATGATTTTCTTTTAATCCCAGCCTTTGCAGTCTCTGTCAGTGGCTGACTCCCGGTTGAAGCAGGGAGCCAGTGTCCTGCTTCGGGCTTTGGGCACTAATCCTAAACTGACAGCACTGGATATCAGTGGCAATGCCATAGGGGATGCTGGTGCCAAGATGCTAGCCAAGGCTCTACGAGTCAACACCAGGCTTCGGTGGGCATGGTCATTATAAGGGCTGGGACCAACAAGAGAAGAAAGGGGGGATGTATTAGAGAGGCGTGGGGGGAGGCTAAGGCGTAGATGAGTGGGTAAGGCCAGAGGGTGGGGTGGGGCTCTGCCCCAGCTGAAGTCTGGTGGGGCCCAGGTCGGTGATCTGGGACCGAAACAACACTTCTGCTCTGGGCCTGCTGGATGTGGCGCAAGCCCTGGAAGAAAATCACAGCCTGAAGTCCATGCCGCTGCCGCTGAATGACGTAACCCAGGCACACCGCAGCCGCCCAGAACTGACAGCACGAGCAGTCCATCAGGTAGGGGTCCCTTCTTGTTCTCCTCCCTTTTATAAGTGTAGACTCTGCCCCCGGTACCTCTCACTGTCCCTTGATTGCAGATCCAAGCCTGTCTCTTGAGGAACAACCAGGCAGAGCCTGCTCCTGACCTCACGTCCTGCCTTCAGCCTTTGCATCTGACTTCAGGCCACTCGGAGCAGGTCAGTGTTCCTCCCCTAACCCTGAGTGCTTGGGCACCTGAGGCCGAGCGTGGGACTCTCTTGGGTCAAGCCGCCTGAGTCCTGTGTCCCACACAATTTTCTCCCTTTGGTCACTATTCCTGAAATAACTCCCCATGTAATGTTTGACTGCCTTACTTTAAGAATGTAAACAACCAGCCGGGCGTTGGTGGCGCACGCCTTTAATCCCAGCACTCGGGAGGCAGAGGCAGGCGGATCTCTGTGAGTTCGAGGCCAGCCTGGTCTACAGAGCGAGTTCCAGGACAGCCTCCAAAGCCACAGAGAAACCCTGTCTCGAAAAAAAAACCAAAAAAAAAAAAAAAAAGAATGTAAACAACCTCTCCTCATGGTCTCATCTGACTTCCCAGTCAAGGACTCCTCGCCACTCATCTCTGTGGCTAGCTTCAGTGGTCCTGTCTCTGGCATGACTTTCCCTCCACTGACGCCTTCCTGAGTTGTCCCTATGGCTCAGGTCTCATCTAAGCTCTGAAGCCCACTTACCTTGATCCAGACATCTGAGGGGCAGGCTTTATGCACTGCATGCCTTCACGTGATTTTCTACAAACTCTTACTTATTGTGTTTGACTGTGTGCAATCTTACATGCACCCGCATCCTCATGCTCCCAGGTCATATGGACGTCAAAGGACAGCAGGCAGGAGCCGGTTCTCTCCTTCCACAACGTGAGTCCCAGGGATGGACTCATGTCATCAGGCCCAGTGGGCCATCTCTGGGCCATCTCACGGCCTCTCGAGTGATCTTATTATCACCCATAAGCACCACTCTGTCTCACAGGGCACAGTTTCTTTGGGGCCTCTATCACTGTGCCCTTCCTGGTCCCTCCTGGCCACACACACTGGCGCATTCACAGCCCTAATCTGCCTCTGGACCATCTCTCTAACATAGTCCTTACCCCAGATCAGCCGTCTTTTGCTTCCTCAGTTTCTCTCTCTCTCTCTCTCTCTCTCTCTCTCTCTCTCTCTCTCTCTCTCTCTCTCTCTCTCTCTCACACACACACACACACACACACACACACACACACACACACACACCTACCTACCTATCCTTGGTGAGGATGGTTGAGAAGAGTTTGAAACAGTGACCAAAACTTTCCTTCTCTTTCTAGGCATTTGGGAAGTAACACGTCCCTAAAACAACCAAAAGGGAAAGACCCTGCTATCCTATCTCGAGCAGACAGGGTTTCCCAAGCACCTTGCTTCCGGCTTCACCTTCCCTGGAAGGGAGGCAGGAGATCAGGGAGACTCATGAGAGACAACGGTGGGCTGACCCTTGATTCTCCTCAGGAAGTGAACGAACTGTGCCAGTCAGTGCAGGAGCACATGGAGCTGCTGGGCTGTGGGGCTGGGCCCCAGGGTGAGGTTGCTGTGCACCAGGCTGAAGATGCCATCCAGAATGCCAACTTCTCTCTCAGTGTGAGTACTCCCTCCCTCCCACTGTGAGGCCCTTTCTGCTCCTAATGAAGTGTCAGCTTGCAACTCTTTTTGTTGCTTGGCCCTCAGATCCTTCCCATTCTATATGAGGCCGGGAGCTCTCCAAGCCATCACTGGCAGCTGCACCAGAAGCTGGAGGGCCTCTTGGGTCAGGTGGGCGAGATCTGCCGCCAGGACATCCAGGTAAAGTGTTATTCTTGCCCTAGCTTCACCTCCCTCTACGGTCCGTAGGCGTGTCTGTGATAAGCCCTTAATCAGCAGAGACTTCATGGAGGCTCACACCCTTAAGTCAAGCGGTCTAGGCTCTAGCCATACCGTTGCCATTTTATGACCTTTGTCTAGGACTTCACTCAGACCACACTGGATACCACAAGGAGCCTTTGCCCGCAGATGTTGCAGAGACCTAGCTGGAAGGAGCAGGTAGAGGGAGTTCTGGTGGGCTCCAGGAGCCTTCCAGAACTGCTTCCAGAACATCTGCTGCAAGATGCCTTTACTAGGCTGAGGTAAGCAAGCTCCACTGGGGTGGGCAAATCAGGAAAGAGCCACACACTAATCCTCACCCTCTCTGCCTTCAGGGACATGCGCCTGTCAATCACAGGGACCCTAGCAGAGAGCATTGTGGCTCAGGCTCTTGAAGGTCTTCATATAGCCAGAGATCAACTGGTGAGGGGAAGCTTTGCATATATTTCACAGAGTAACCTGTTTAACACTCCCAGGGGGTCGTGTAATGACTTCTGGGGTCATAAGATAACTACTTTAGGGTTGTCTTAGATCTGCCTGTCTTTGGGTGGCTGGTACTGCAGATGGAGAGTCTAGCTCAGCAGGCACCAGTGACAGTGGACCCCGCAGTACCATCACTGGATGTATGTGAGCTCAGTCCCCTTGAGACTGGGGGATTGGAAGATCTTTTCTTTCCCATGGAGAAGGAAGAGGAGAGAGAGGTGAGTCTCCTAAATTCCATGCCTACAACTCCCAATCTTCCCTTGCTCTGGGATGTGGAAGGTGAGTAGCAGTTCTGGATTATGCTAGACTGAGGTTGTATCCATCCCACCAGGATAATGGTTCGTCATGGAAATGGCCCGAGCCCAGCTATTGTTTTCACCTGGTCCCTTCCCTTCATGGTAAGTCAGGCCCTGGAGGAAAGAGAGTTTACAAATGAACTGAAGCTCTGTTAAATCTGGGCACTTAGACACTCATTCAGCCCTATCCCAGGTATACCCTAACCCCCACCCCCACCCCCGAGCCAGGCTAGAAAGAAAGCCTGAGTCAGCTCTTCTCGGAACTGTGTGAGACCTGAATGAAATAAGCCTAAAATACCTTCTTCCCTGCCTCCCCCGCCCCTTTTCCTAACCCCAGGACGCGCATGCTTGGCGGCTGCTCAGAGCCGCGCGCACTCGGGGCCGCGCTCAGCACCACGGACAGCGGCGACTGGGGGAGGGGCGGGCGGCGTAGCCGGGCCCCTCCCCGCGCCCTGGGCGGGTCCCCCGCCGCCCGCCCTAGCGCCTCCGCCACCTCCCCGGGTTCGACGCTCTGTGCTCTTCTGGTGTTTTCGCCTCAGGTACTGCTGAGGAAGCAGAGCGGGACCCCGAGCTGGCGGCTCCGGGTGAAGATGCGGAGCCGCAGGCTGGGCCGTCCGCACGCGGCTCTCCAAGCCCCGCTGCCCCGGGGCCCCCCGCCGGCCCGCTGCCTCGCATGGACCTGCCACCCGCCGGACAACCCCTACGCCATCCGACCCGGGCCCGGCCACGGCCACGTCGCCAGCACCACCACCGTCCGCCGCCGGGGGGCCCCCAGGTAAGTGATTCCCTTCCCCCTCGCCCGCTTGAGGGTCATGGGTAGTCCATTCGCTCCTCACTTGCTGTAGAAGACAGGGAGATGGGTAGTGGAGGCCCAAGGCCACCGGATCGCGCCCTATCCTCTTCCCCGGCCACCCTTAACCTCAGGCTGTGCCCATAACGAGCCACTGATGTGCGGGTTTCCTGTGAGCAGTGCCTAGAGGGTGGACTCCCGCCTTGGAGTGAGCCGCTGTATGCGTGGACGTGTGAAAGCGGGTGTCCGCCTTGCCCTCCCTCTCCTGGGGTTACTGAAAAAATACTGGGCAGCTGGGCCGCGGGACACTCCTGCGTCTGCTGTGCACTAGCGGGTGGATGTGTGTGTGGGCTGGGTACTGGCAGGGGCAGTGGGCACTGGCAGAAGGAGAGGAGGAGCCGGCCTGAGCGCCCCCCCCCCAGGGTCTGACGCAGCAGCGGCGCCACTGAGCCTGGATGACAGACCGGGTGGGGTAGGGTGGCGGTGGAGGGTTAGGGTACTGCGGGAGGGGGGCTGTTAGAAGTAAAAACGGTGGCATATTGGAATGTGTGACCCGTAGGTGTTTGCTTAGTGATAGCCAGGCGGCTCGGGGTACAGCATCCTCTAGGAAACAAGAACGGGTGTGGACTGAGCAGGTGTTCTGTGGCAGCGGTGAGGAATGAAACCCAGCGCAGTACAGACAGCACCCCAGCTCTGGGATATACTCAGGCCCGGTCACTGGGGAAGGAGTGGGGGTGGGGAGAGCCACAGTTCTCAGTCCTAACCTCTCAATGTCTCCCAGGTGTCCCCAGCCCTGCTGCAAGAAGGGAATGGGCTCACTGCTCGTGTGGATGAGGGTGTGGAGGAATTCTTCTCCAAAAGGCTGATCCAGCAGGATCGCCTGTGAGTGAGGGTCAGCTGCTGGGGGTGGAAGAGGGTGGGGCACCCTTGACTTTCTTCACTCACTGATGGTCGCTCCTACAGCTGGGCCCCAGAGGAGGATCCAGCCACTGAGGGCGGTGCCACTCCTGTCCCCCGTACACTTCGAAAGAAGCTGGGTACCCTCTTTGCCTTTAAGAAACCTCGTTCAACAAGGGGTCCAAGATCTGATCTAGAGACCAGCCCTGGAGCAACAGCTCGTGCTAGAAAAACCACACTTGGGGACCTGCTTCGACCACCAGCTCGTCCAAGCCGCAGCGAGGAGCCTGGAGGGGCAGAAGGGGGCACCAGCAGTCCTGACTCTGCTCGAAGAAATCGGCCTCGGTACACACGGGAAAGCAAAGCCTACTCTATGATACTGCTGCCCGCTGAGGAGGAGGAAGCGACAGGGAGTGCCAGACCTGACAAGGTAAGGACTTGTGTCGGGGACTGGGGGCTCGTCAGGAAAGGAAGCAGTGGGCTCTCTCTACTTAGGCATCTCTGTCCTCAGAGGCGGCCTCTGGAACGGGGAGACACAGAACTGGCCCCGTCTTTTGAGCAGCGGGTCCAAGTGATGCTGCAGAGGATCGGTGTGAGCCGGGGCAGTGGGGGTGCCGAAAGCAAGAGGAAGCAAGTGAGTGGGGTGTGTGGACTGGGGGCAGGGGGCAATCTGGATGGCATATGTAACTAAGAAGGGACACACACGGCACAAGCAGATTGTCAGTTACACTCTCACCCCTAAAAGTAGTCATTGATCTTTCTTCCTTCTTGCTTCTGACCTGGTACTTCCTAGAGTGTAGGGAACTTTCTCCAAAGATTCTTGACTTTGTTACCTATACCTGAAACCGGTCCTCCAGGACTTCCTCTTTATCCAGATTCCTAACCCTGCAGCAAGAGCTTCTGGATCTCAGTCCTGGCCACCTTAGGCTTCCCTGCTGTCCTTTGGAGTATCTCAGGGCCTCGCATGGCCATAGGTTTACACCCTCTGTCCTATGTCCAGTTGTGTCCTCGTGAGCCTTCCCTGGCTCCCTTTCCCGGTCACCCTGATAATGTCATTCCAATCAGTCTTTATTATGAACCATACCCCTGGATGCCATCCACCTAAGTTTTCCAGGAAAAACACACATGCAATGAGACTGGCCTGAATTTAGAGATGTTAAAGTATGGGAAGGACCATAAAACTAAGAAATCACATCATCTGCTGGGTATAGTGGTAAACTCAGCCTTCAGGAAACTGAGGCAGGACTGCAAGGAAAACTAGCATGAGCTATACAATGAGACTATCTCAAAAGAAAAACAAAAACAAAGAAATCACAATACCTACTTGTTAGGACTAACATGCATATTTTCGTGTGTCAACTCTGCCATCCCAGACTGTAAGGTCAGAGGGCAGGGGAATACGTTTGCCATGTTAGAGCCATCCCATGGTATGCATTCTGTAGCTAGGTTTTAAGAAAATAAACGGACAGAGACAAGGCGAGAGTAAGGGCAACAGGACGTCTGACTGATTTGTTTTCTACAGAGCAAAGATGGTGAGATCAAGAAGGCAGGCTCAGATGGTAAGTAGGACCCTGAAACAAAGAAATATATTTAGGAGGAGGAGGTGGTCTTAGAGATACTTACTTACTCTCCTTGGGTAGGGGACAGGCTGTTTTGCCTCCCTGAAGGTGAACCATTGAGGTCTGACACCTAAGCCTCTAGTCCTACTTTGCAGGTGACATTATGGACAGTTCCACAGAGACCCCTCCCATCTCAATCAAGTCCCGTACCCACTCTGTGTCTGCTGGTGAGTGAGGGTCATTGTATATGCCGAGGGAGGTACAAGGACTGTGAGTCAGGGGATCAGACCATTACTCAGAACCATCTCCAAGGCCGTGCTCGGAGCCAGCTGACATTTGTTTCTCTACCCAGATCCCTCATGTAGACCCGGCCCAGGGGGCCAGGGACCTGAGTCTGCCACCTGGAAGACACTGGGGCAACAGCTGAATGCAGAGCTCAGAGGCCGTGGTTGGGGCCAACAGGATGGTCCAGGGCCCCCTTCCCCATGTCCTAGCCCAAGTCCCCGAAGAACCAGCCCCTCCCCAGACATCCTGAGTCTCCCAGAGGACCCTTGCATGGGCCCTCGGAGTGAAGGTAGGTGGGCACTCCAGTCCTAGGCTGGGACTGGCAGAGTGTCTGCTGGGAACTCATCTGGGACCACTGGGAGGAAAAGACTGGGTGTGGGCAGCTACTGGGAATGTACCCTGATATCTTGGCCTCCTCTAGATGGCCAGCTGAGGCCGAGGCCTCTCTCAGCAGGGCGGCGAGCAGTGTCTGTGCATGAGGACCAGCTCCAGACCCCTGCGGGTGAGGGAGACACCTCTGTCTGTGTTTGAGTGCAGAAGATGGGGGAGGGTGGGCTCCTGGACTTCTGTCTTGGTTCTGGTACTTGGACAGAACCACCAGTGCTGAGTGCTGGAACAAGCAGGAAGCCCAAAGGCCCAGTGTAGTCCAAGAGTGACAAGCCCTTCCTACTAGACCAGGCTCTACCTCCTGGAGACGATGTCTGCTAGGGTGGGAGGACACTAGTTGGAGAATCGATGGAAGTAGAATATGCACGTTTTTGCGTGCACTGAAGATGGAGAAGGGTTAGGAGCAGCCAGTGAGTTTTTCTGTATCCTTTTTAGAACGGCCCCTTCGGCTGCAGCGCTCCCCTGTCCTCAAGCGCAGGCCGAAGCTTGAGGCACCACCATCTCCAAGCTTAGGTAAGAGTGGGCAAGAGCCAACTGAGACGATGACATGATGGCTCAGCACAAGCCTAGAACTTTCTCCATCTCTCCTCACAGGCTCTGGCCTTGGAACCAAGCCTCTTTTTCCATACTCAACAGAATCCTCCAGCCCTGAGCGGAGCCCTCCCTCCCCAGCCACAGACCAAAGAGGCGGCGGCCCCAATCCCTGATCCTGTCCTCTCCTGCCGCATGAAATTATTTTATTAAAAAACTTGAATGAAACAGGGTATGGAATACTGTTTGTCCGTAGACCTGTGTGTACGAATCCTCTGATATGTCCAGGTGACTCCTCATGGCTGTGTTAACTCAGACTCTGACTCCATCACCAAGCTCAAGGCCCAAGCTACAAGCTGAGGAGGAAGCCTGGAAAGAAACCATTGCCTTAAGTCACAGTTTATCTAAGACTGGTGGCCAACACAGGTGGCACCACCACAAGCAAGCACTCACCTGGCAGTTTGGACCTGGGCATGGAGCGAGGCAGAGGGTGTCTCATATTTATACTGGAAAGCGGAAGCATCATGATGCCTCTTTGGGGGTTTCTGAAAAGGGGGCAGTATCCAGATAGAGTCCAATAAGGACCCCTGAGGTAATCCAAGCCTACCCTTAGCCCTCTCCACGCCCGAGGCTCTCCCACATCTCCCCTGCAGGCTGCAGTGCTCACCCAGACACAGTCAGGTTCTTGGGCTCCCTTGGCTCTGGTTCTTGGGAAAAGCTGCCGTTTCTTGATAGGCCACTGGAGCTGCCTGACCTCCAGGCTATGGTCTGGGTATGGACCAGAGGCACGGGGTGGGGGCGAGATACTGGGGGTACAGGTCAGGAGTGGGGAGTTGGGTGTAGAACTCTGAGGCGGGGATCTGGGAGCCTGAGGTCTCAGGGAGGATGAACAAGCAGCTGGTAGAGGCTGGAAGCTGTCCTTCTGTCCAGGGTCTGATGCAGCCAAGGCTGACAGAAGGCTAACACTGGCATCGCTTTCCTCCACTGGTGCGTGCCTGAGTGAAGCAAGGTTTCCTGGGAAGAGGAGACTGACTGTGAGGACAGGACAGACCTTTCGGCTCAGGACAGCTGAGTGCTGGGAACTATTATACGACATTTCAGAGCATTCCACATAGTCCAGTAATCTGACTGACAGTACTGGCCTGAACCTATAGGACTGGCTGAAGAACAAAGATGGGCCCTGGAGAGATGATTCTGGAGAGAATCATCAATGCTGTGGTGGGCCCTGGGCTCCAAAGACTCCCCCTTCTGACCTCTGCAGTTCTCCTTACCCTGCGCCTTCTGACTTGACCCAACAGAACTCAGAATCTGCTCGTCATTCTCAGAGATGTGCAGCAATAGGCTAGAGACAGTGAACACAGTTTCTTCCTGTGGGAATGACACATCAGCATGGCAGTTGCCTAACCCTCACCCTGAAACCTCCCAAGAAAAGCCCCACACTGACCGTGGCCTGGAAACAAGAGGCCGTCCAGCGGGTGAGGGGGGTGGCTGTGTAAGGGCCTGACAGCAGCAGGCAGCTCTCAGCTAGATGGGCTAGTGCCCCCCGATGATCCCGGTCCTCCTTCACCTCATCCAGAAGCTGAGACAGCGTTAGGCCTGGGGCCAGAGATTTGGCCAAAGAGTTGAAGTTGAAACAAGAAGGATGGGTAAGGCATTATAGTTACTTACTGAGAGTCATGGATAGCAGAAGTACCTCCACAGGGAGATAGGTAGGGTTACCAGGAGACCCTACCAGTACCTGCACCGGGAGAAGCACACTCTGAAAGGTGGTCCCTAGAGAAACAGAGTGAACACTCCTCAGAACAACCCTGATGCCAGGCTACGAAGCTCTGCCACCCCTGAGCATAACACACTCAGAATCAGAGCGCAACCCCAGACTCACTCAAGGCATTCACCGAGCTTTCTCTGCACATCTGAATCCTGATTGCTAGAAGAAAGACAGGGGTAGGTAGTCAGTGACTGATGCCCAAGCCTTCTCACCCAAAGACCCACGCCAGGGAGAGTGAAGAGGCAGAGGGTGGATTTACTGTTTTGTTTTGGAGGAAGGAATATGGGGAGACTTGGACTGAACCCCTCGGGACCGCAGGCATGCTAAGCCTGTGCTCTTCCACGGAGCTATATCCCCTTCCCTTGGAGGGATCACTTACCAACCAGTCACCTGTACCCGGGGCTGCTCCGACGGCAGCAGGTTAAAGCGGTCCAGCTGGAGGTAGAACTCCGCAGGCTGGAGGAGTTGGGGAGCGGCGTTTAAGGAGCTGTCTCAAAGAGCCAGGCACAGTAACCAACCCCCCACCCCAAGTGAGCCTTACCACTCACCGCACGATCCTGAGCAACCTGAATGCGAACCCCGCAGACCTGCAGCAGCAGGAGGCGGCCCTCGGTCCCACGGAATCCGAACTCTTTCTCTTCCCTGCAACAGTCACAGCCCTCACTGCCCAGAACCCAGGCACATGCGCCACACGCCTGAGGTATGAGCTTCCCACCTCTCCAGCACCCGCCCACCTCGGGTTCAACCTCGCGCTCCCACCTTCCACAGACCAGGAGCACCTCTCTTACCACTCGGACGTGTCGATGGCATTGCGCGTCACCAGGCAGCGGACGCTGTGGGTCCCGTCTGACACGAGCAACACGGCCCCGGTGTTAGGTGTGTCAGGCGCGGATGACGGGCCGGGACTCTCCGAGTCCTGGAGTACCTAACAGTAGTGGCCAGTGTCAACTCCCTTCCTCGGCCTGCACTCGGGTCTCTGGGGTCTCAGTGGCCTGCTCACCTTCAGGAGCTGCCCGACTCGTGGACTTGACAGTGTCTCTGAGCCCAGGATCAGATCCCGAATCCAGGGCCGCAGTTCCAGTCTCCCCGAGCCCGACATTAGAGCGGCCGCCCCCTGGGAGACCCCCGAGTAGGGGATTCCCTCGAGCGCAGCCGCTCAGTCTTCCGCCGGAGAGGAAGCACGTGACCGCTAGGCGGATCCCAAGTTTGAGGCGCCGCCTATCCACGCTTCGGCTTCTGCGCTTGCGCAAGCACTTCCTGGGCCGTAATGTGTTTGTGTGTGTGTGGTCTTTGGCTGGCGAGCGTGGCAGCTGGCTGCAGGCTGCTTGTTCTTACCAAGTTCTTACTGAGTCTGTGACCTGTTCCTCAGTGCTACCTAACACGGAAAAGGAAAGAGCAAGGGCTGGTCTGGATAGGAGCGATCCAGGCTAAGATACTGCAGCCGAGAATGGGGCTCGAAGCCCCTTCGGCTTTGTGTGGCCCCAAGAGGTTTCCCAACATGTTGACTAAGTCTCGTCTGCAAAATGAGTGGTCTTGTAAGGCCAGTGGAAATGACACTACAGACAACTTATGTTAGCTCCCTCATTCTGCTCCCGGATTGGTCGAGAACTCACAGGAACGCTCGAACCATAGCGTAATGACGCAAGAGCAGAGGAAGCCCTGGCTACCTCCGTCTCCGTTTCCTAGGAAACGTAGACTCCGTGTTTCTCTGTGTCGCGTCCCCCTTGACGTAATGATTCGGGTGGGAGGGCGGGGCGAGTGCTACCGCCAGGGGCGGGGCGGCTCGGGCCAGCGGGCCGGGCTGTGCACCTGCGCCTCGGCGGGCAGCCTAGGGGCACTGTCCCCATCCCGCCAGGTCCCGCAATGGCCAGACCGCAGAGGACTCCGGCGCGCAGTCCCGATAGCATCGTCGAGGTGAAGAGCAAAGTAAGGGCTCCTCCGGCCTCGGCTCTGGCCACTGCGCTAGACGCTCCCAATTTCCTTTCTCTCCCTTACTGTCTGTCTTGATCTCCATCATCTCTTTCTGTCTGTCCTCCATCCCCCGCGTCCTATTCTGCTTTTCTGCCTGCCTCCCCTCATCGCATCCTCCTTCCCTTTACGGATCTCCAGAGTCCCTCTATGGCTGGGTATGTAGGAAAAGACCTTGGACAGTGTCCCTTGTACTGGAACTGAGGTTTAAGCTTTAAGGCTGCAGCGGTTGCAGCAGCTCTTTCCCTCACTTGACAGCCTCAGACCTGTAGTGAGAAAGGGGCTTGGGCTGTCCTGACACTCCTCTCCCCTTCCCCTCCCGCCTCCAGTTTGACGCCGAGTTCCGACGTTTTGCGCTGCCCCGTGCTTCGGTGAGAGGCTTCCAGGAGTTCTCGCGGTTGCTGTGTGTGGTACACCAGATATCTGGTCTGGACGTGCTGCTTGGCTACACGGATGCTCACGGCGACTTGCTGCCCCTCACCAACGATGACAGTTTGCACCGGGCCCTGGCCAGTGGGCCCCCGCCACTGCGCCTATTGGTGCAGAAGCGGGGTGAGGATGGGGGACAGTGGGCAGCTTCCTTGGGGTAGAGTGACAGGGAAGGTCTACTAGGGTTAGTCCTACCCAGGGTTCCCAGGCTTCACCTTCTGCAGTCTCTGCCCTTGGCCTGACCTCCAAGGGGTAGGAAACAGTTGACAATGTCCCTGTCTCTAATCCTCGCACCCCCCTCTTCTGCAGCAGAAGGTGACTCCAGTGGTCTGGCTTTTGCCTCCAACTCTCTGCAGAGGCGCAAGAAAGGGCTCTTGCTTCGACCAGCGGCACCTCTGCGCACCCGACCACCCTTGTTAATCAGCCTGCCCCAAGATTTCCGACAGGTGTCTTCAGTCATAGACGTGGACCTACTACCTGAGACCCACCGACGTGTGAGGCTCCACAAACATGGCTCAGACCGTCCCCTGGGCTTCTACATTCGAGATGGCTTGAGTGTTCGGGTGGCTCCCCAGGGCCTGGAGCGGGTTCCAGGCATCTTCATCTCCCGCCTGGTACGTGGGGGCCTGGCCGAGAGCACAGGGCTGCTGGCAGTGAGTGATGAGATCCTCGAGGTCAATGGCATTGAGGTGGCTGGGAAGACCTTGGACCAAGTGACAGACATGATGGTTGCTAACAGCCATAACCTCATTGTCACTGTCAAGCCTGCCAACCAGCGTAATAATGTGGTACGAGGGGCATCTGGGCGTCTGACAGGGCCTTCCTCTGTAGGGCCTGGGCCTACTGACCCTGACAGCGACGATGACAGCAGTGACCTGGTCATTGAGAACCGCCACCCTCCCTGTTCTAATGGGCTGTCTCAGGGACCCCTGTGCTGGGACCTGCAACCTGGCTGCCTACTTCCTGGTGCTGGCAGCTCTCTGCCCTCCTTGGATAGCCAAGAGCAAGCCAACTCTGACTGGGGGAATGGCATGCGAGGTGATGTTAGTGGTTTCAGCCTCTAACAGTCAAAGATGCAGCCCTTGTCGCTTTAGGCTGCTGAAACGTGGCATGGACTTTCCAGTTGGGGAGGGAAGATTAGCTTGTTCACAGAGCCCTCTCAACCCAGTGAACATTAAAGGTTTTCTACAAATATAGATGTGGTTCTTCTGTGTCCCAGCCCTTACCTCTTCCTTGAGCCTGTAAGTCAGGCTTCTTCTGTGGACATGAGGCAGGAGGGATAATAAGAACACATGAGATCTTCCTCTAACTGTGCAGCAGGAGGCCCGCTGAGCTTGGCATTTCTAAGAAAGATCCTATGGAAACAGCTGCTATGTATAAAAGGTTTAATTTTGACATAGGAGTTGGAGGCTGGGTGGCCCTTCTGCAGCTACTGCTGACTAGCAAGTGCTTGAGAGACTGCCCGCCCCAACGCTCCTGCCTTTGGAACTGTGAAAGGGCTTGAGCTTGCACTTTGTAGCCATGTGGCAATCCTCACTGTGGGTCTCCCTGTCACTCTACACACAAAGGCAGGGCTCAGGTATCCATCTTCACAAAGACTTTGGGTCGGGAAAAGATCTTGACAGCCTCTTCTATTTGCACCAACTTCCGGTCCAGTTCAGCACGGTGGCCCTGGGCTCTTAGAGAGTCTGCCCCAGCAGGTAGCAGAACTAACTCACGCAGCAGCTGGCTCTGGCCTACAAGGGAGCATGGAAACAGAGAATGCTGGGTAGGGGTGCATGGTGCTCCTTGGGCTCCCTTTCAGCCACCTTGCCCGAGCACTCACTCTGGAGCAGACTGTTCAGGGTCTCTAGCCGCTGATTCTCAGGCATGAGCGTGTGGCCAGGGGGCGTGGCAGGGTCAGGCTGGCTGTGCTGTCGAGCTTCAGCTTCCCTCTGCCACAGATCCCTGCGCTCCAACAAGCTGTAAATGCACAGGCCCAGGGTTGATGACACCACGGCCGACCGGTTCCCACCCCCCCACAAAGGTTCATAACCATACTTGCAGGCCCATGCAACCTACTAATGGGGCACATGGCCTTTCTGTGTGGCATTGTAGTGCTCCTGGGCTTGTCGCTGTTGTTCCAGAACCTGTGCAAGGACCTGCAGTGAACGGGAATGGCGGCGGGGGGCTCTCTTGGCAGCTCGGGCATTGTGACTAATGAAATCCACATCCAGGCCTGGCCCCTGCAAGGGACATGGCAAATGGTAGGGACCCTGTGGCACTGTGTTGGATCTCTGTACCCCACCCCCAAGATGGCCAGCTAATAGCCTTTCTGGTCCCCACAGAACCGCTCACCTTAGCTTTGGGACTTGGCAGGGTGAGCTGAGGACTGGAGACACGGGTTGGTGCGAGCCCAGGGCCGCAGCGGGAGTGTGCCCGCAGAAAGTGGACAGGCTCTGTCACAGAGGCAGGACCAGGCTCCTGGAAGGTTGGGATTAGGGAGACAGAAGACAGGGTCCTGAGCCACAAGATTATTCCCCTTTCTGTCCCTCCTTCCTCTAAGTACTTTTCTACGATCATCTCTATGCGCCTCCTCCTTGAAGGAAGATGTCTCAACAACATTCCAATATGCCTGTCTCTTAAAGCTTTAAGAAAACAAATACTTTGTTGTCTACATTCATCCTCATTTGGCTACCATCCTTTCTTCCATTTTCATTCGTTCTATCTATTTACTTTTGGGTTTTCAAACAGGGTTTCTCTGTATAGCCCTGGCTGTCCTGGAACTTGCTCTGTAGACCAGGCTGGCCTTGAACTTACAGAGATCCGCCTGCCTCTGCCTTCCGAGTGCTGGGATTAAAGGCGTGCGCCACCACCGCCCGGCTCCTTTTCTCTTAACCAAGCTTTCTGGCTCTAGCACCCCAAAGTTACCGAGGGTTGCCTCCAAGTCCTCAAAGCTGCTTCCTTAGACCCACTGTCCTCACTTTAATTGTCAATAGCACTCTGGTCCCGCTGATGAGATCCGGAGCTATGTATCCATCTGCTTCCTGGACACAGTCCTACCCCCTGGTAGTCCCACACATGCTTCAGCCTGAATACAATCTCATGTGACCTTGTCTTTTCTCTCAGTCCCCTGTGCCTTTCTGGGTCCCTGAATAGAGAAATGGTAACTACCATCAAAACCCAACACTCCTCTCTGTCCTCAGAAATATATGTTTCAAGGAATGGTGGTGCATGCCTATAGTCCCAGGACTCAGGAGGCTTTGGTAGAAGGAGCAGAAAATTTGAGGCCAGTCCAGGTTATGCAGAGAATTCAAGGACAGCGTGAGGCTGAGCAAGCTATGGTCTCAGAAGGGAATGAGCTGCAAGTGGTGGTCCAAACCTATCATCTCAACATCTGAGAGCGTAAGGTCAGCTAGGCATTGTTGGCATACTTCCTAATCTCAGCATTTGGGAGGCAGAGGCAGGCAGATCTTAGTGAGTTCGAGGCCAGCCTGGGCCTACATGACCCAGCTACATACTGAGACCCTGTTTCAAAAGAAAGTAGTGGGGGCGGGGGGGGGGTTGGGGGGGTCGGGAGGTGGCTCAGCAGTTAAGAACACTGATGCTCTTCCAGGGGACTAGTCTCCAGTATCACATGACAGTTCACAGCAGTCTAGAATAAAAGATGCAGGAGATCTGATGCCACCTTCTGGCCTCTGTGACACATAGACTTGCAGGCAAAATACCCATACACATAAAAATTTTTTAAACTAATTAATTTAATTTTATTTATGTGCATTGGTTTGAAAGTACCAGATCCCCTGGAACTGGAGTCACAGATGGTTGTGATCTGCCATGTGGGTGCTGGGAATTGAACCCAGGGCTTCTGCAACAGCAGCCAGTAATCTTAACCACTGAGCCATCTCTCCAGCCCCATAGAAAATTTTTTATCTCAAAAATTAATTAATTAAAAGAAAAAGAGAGAAAGTGGTGTGGTAGTATACACCTTTAATTCCAGTGCCTCCAAAGCCACAGAGAAACCCTGTCTCGAAAAACCAAAAAAAAAAAAAAAAAAATTCCAGTACTTGGTAGGTAGAAAAAGAGAGCCAGGAGCTCAAAGGTCAACTTTAGCTCATGTACACAGGGTTTGAGGATAGCCTGGGCTACATGAAACAGACAGAGACAGAAAAACTGAGAATGAATTAGTAGGAAGGCTGGGGGTATAACTTAGTGAGTGGTACAGTGTGTGCCTAACGTGCATGAGACCCTGGATTCAATCTCCAACACCATAAATAATGTTGACAAATAGCTTAGGTAGCTCTTTCAGATGTGTCAAGATAGCTTTCAGCTCTAACTGTCTACAAATTGCATTATAACTGCTATCTTCATTGCCCTGATCCCCAGGACTTCTTTCTACCTGTGAGGTTTCATCTCTATGGTTTCATCTCTTCCCTAGCCTAATTCTTACTTGTCCTGATGCCACCAACAGCAGCTCAGAGAAGGTTTGCCCCAGATGCCTGAGCCTCTATGACCCCCACACTCCCTGTGAGTTAGATCAGGGTATAGTTGTCTGTTGGCCAATGTGTACAATATGTCTGGCTCTGAGGGACAGATACCTTCATCCTGGCCTTGACTCGAGACTCGACATTGTCATACTTGGGCGAGCGCCACAGCGCCTTCAGGGGCTTAGGCCGGCCCTGCTCCTGGCTTCGCTCTTGGTCTTGGAAACGCCTCTGGATCTCTCTGATCCGCTTCAGGTTCTCCTTCTCATGGTCTTTTGGATCCTTCCCTGGGGAAAAACTGTTGTTAGGGACAACCCTACAGATGGCCATGGAACTTAGAGCACACAGGCTCACACTGTACCGTTTGCAGAAATTTCTCCCAATCTGGTAGATGCCTAGTATACAAGAGGCCCTGGGTTCAACACACACACAAACACACACACACACACACACACACACACACACAATTTAAATACAACCAAGATCTCTTTATGTAAGCTAGACTCCATACACACAGCACTATTATCATCTTTTTTTTTTTTTTTGGATTTTTTTGAGACAGGGTTTCTCTGTATTGTTTTGGAGGCTGTCCTGGAACTCGCTCTGTAGACCAGGCTGGCCTCGAACTCACAGAGATCCGCCTGCCTCTGCCTCCCGAGTGCTGGGATTAAAGGCGTGCGCCACCAACGCCCGGCCCACTATTATCATCTTAATCTCTCCTTCCACAGTGCTCCTCCTGGTTATCCTCTATATTTCGATAGTGAACGAATATCATTAATTACCTTGTCCTGTCTTGTTTATTGCCTCCAACTGTGATGCCCATACTTTTAAAGTCTGTCTTCCTACCACCTATAGGGCTTGGCACAGAAGTAGGCTAAGTAAACAATGCTCCATGGAGGTGTGAATGCTTGAAGTTAGGATTTCCTACATAAGAAGAGAACTCTGATCCTGTCAGGAAGTAGTTCATTTCGCCCTCTTTTTGTGCTAGGGAAACTTAAGACCCACAAAAGTAAATTAATTCCCTGGGCTCAAGGCAATTAGGAAGCCTCCTATTTTAATCTCTGCTTTTGACCTCCGAATGCCGCGATACCCTTTCTGGCAAGGACTTACTCTTAGGAGATACCCCTGAACCAAGGGAGATGCCCTCCAGTTGCAGCAGCACGTCTCCCACGCCTCGCTGCCCACGCTCAAGGATCTCTCGGGCTCCAGGCCTGATGCGGGGGCCACGAGGAGGACTGCAGTCCAGGTCGCGACCTGAAGTCAGCAGGTCCAGCTTCAGTGCGTTTCCTTCCAAGCGCCCTTGGGCTGAAGGGCAAGACACGGTGAGAAGCCGTGCTCAGTGGCGGCGCGAGACACTCGCCACGCCGTGGGACCCCGCAACTCACCCGAGGCCGGCCGGCGGTAGTAGTCCGGGCAGAGCGTAGGGTCTGGGGGAATGGGTCCCGAGATGCGGGACGGTCCTTCGCACATGATCCTATCGCAGCCCTGCAACCGTGCAACGAAGCCTGCTGCGCCGTGCAACTTCGGCCCCCAATCCCTGTCGGGTGCTTCCATCCTCCACCCGAGCCCTGCAGCCCCGCAGCAGCCCCCATTCCCGACCCCCGCCCTCGTCTCTCGCCCAGCCCCTAGGGTCAGTCGGCGCCACCGCCCCGCGACCGGGATCCTAGCCCATTGCCCTGAGGGGTTCGCGACCCCTCCCCCCGCAACGCCCTAGAGGGGGCTCTCACTGGAGCAGTTTTACCGCCAACTGTTGCAAGCTGGTAGAAGTTGCTGTTGCTTGGCAACAAATGGCTTCCTGAGGTCATGGGTCAACAACTTCGGCGAAAAGCCTTCTGGGGTTTGTAGTTCCAGATGACGAACTTTTTTTTTTTAAAGTCTCAGGTCTCAGCGGGATCCTCACCTCCCAGTCGGCCTACCCTACCAACACTGAGAACACCAGTCCAACCCTCCTCTGAGCCCGCCCTCTTCTCCTAGCAACCGTCAAGGGCTGCACTGATTCCGCACAGCCATGGCCTCAGCAGGGGCCAAGAGGCAACCAGAAGCCCAGAATGGGATGACAGTAGGATTAGCCCAGGTTGCAGAGATCCCTGAGGTGAGTCAGGCATCTTCGAAGCTCGGGAGGTGGCAGCGGTAGGGCAGGAGAGGCGGGACTCTAGGTGAACCAACCCCCTGCCTGGCCAAGCCCTGCAAGTAGAGGGGCCTGAGCTGGTAGCCTTCATGTCATATTTTGTGGACTTTGAATGACCGGTCCCTACAATGCTTTGCCTGGCCATTGGCTACTCTGCGTATCTTCTAGTGCCCAGGACCAGGAGAAAAGTGTCTGGTGCCCGCACATGAGACCTGCAGAAGCCCAGGTGAAGACAAGTATTCAGTAGGACACAGCTTCGAGCCGGAGCTCCAGGAGGAAGGAATAAACCGGGGACAGGAAGGGCTCAATCCAGGGGTGGACGCAAGAGAGGAGAGAGGACCCAAGCCTACATCATCCATCGTGAGGCCCAGTCATGGACCCAAGAGAAAGCCCATCAAGTGAGGGGGTTTTCAGAGGGAAGGAGTTGCGGGGCTGAAGGCGGCTGGGGGCCTTACACCCCCAGCTTCCTAAATCCCGATTCCTTCAAGGCAGGTATTTTTGTCTTCTGCTGCTGCCCCTCACTCCCAACTAGAAACTTCTGTTTCTCTAGAAAAGGAGTCTAGTAGGAAGAAAAAATAAATAAAAGATTTGGGAGTCTTGTAGGAGACTGTTACCATGAGGGCCAGGTCTCTGTTGGGCTTGGAGCTTCGTTGACCAGGAAAGGGGCAGCTGACTAGCCCTGGGGTTGGTGGGCAGGCAGGACTAGGCCCTAGGCTCAAGACACAGGAGCCAAAGACTGAAGCGCACCTCTTTCAGGCCTCTCGTCCCAGGCTTGGGCAGCCCAGGCCTTCCAGGGCCAAGCTACCATGGGCACCCTAGGGCTGAAGCTGAACAGCCACCAGGGATGCTGCTGCAGAAGGAGGAACCAGAGGGCAGCCACAGTGAGTCTTCGGTGTCTGCTAAGCAGCACAAAAAAGCCAAGAAACGCAAGAGCGCGGGGGCCCCTGTGCCCCCGAATGCAGCCGGCACGCCCACATCTACGGAGACGCTGGGGCTGGAGCGTGAGTGGCAGTCTCCGGGGTTACCTTTTTTTTGTCTTCTGGGTCTGACATGGCACCACCTGGCGCTCCAGCCTTTGCCTTGCCTCGGGTTCTTGCAGGAAAAGCCCAGCGTCTGCGGCCGCTGTACCAATATATCAACTATTGCAACCCTGAGCTGAATCAGGCAGGGGACGAGGACAGGGAGCCGGAGGTGGAGCCTGAGTCGGAGCTGGCCCCGGCTCCTGAGGAGGCCGTTGTGGAGCAGCTGCAGTTGCAGGCCTTGCTGCCCGTGGCGGGTGAGCTGGGCTTGGGCCTCGCCTTGTCCTGCTCAAATACACTAGTGCCACTCACTCGTGCGCTGCCTCCTCTGGGACGGGAGGTGGGAGAGCAGCCCGGGGGGTTGTCTAGTCTAAGGACGAGCGGCAGCCGCAAGGCTGAGGTGGACAAGACCACCCAAGTGGACATTGACAAGATGCTGAGTGTCTGTGCAGCCCCTCTCGTGCCCCCCCTCTCCCCGCAGTACAAGTGACCATCTACCCACTGAGAAGGTCTCCAGGCCTAAACTAGGGCTGTACGCTCAGGCCTAGGCCATCAGGTGGAGGAAGGAATTCAGACTTTGTCTGTACTGGGAATTCGGGCTCTGAAAATAAACATTTCCCCCTTTTAAAATTGTTATTCCTCAAATATGATGCCTGAATTGGGAAAAGGGAGGAGAATTCACCCATCATTTGCCTCATGGGCTATCTGGATCACTGGAACCTTGACAAATGTGTCAGAGTGGGTGAGGTTGTTGTGTGCCAAAATGTTTCCTGGGGAGACACATCACATCTATTCACCCGAGATAGGGAGCCCAGGACAGACCAAAGTACAGACACCACCAAAGTCCAACTTGGTGAACCAATGAGTTTTATTGGAGTTGCTTAGAGGAATATGGGTGAGGGGTTACTACAGGAGCAGAAATGACTCAAAGACAGCTGCACCACCAAAGCCCACTCCAGCACGGGTGACAGCTCACAAAATTTGGTAACCTGGCGCTCACTGCACACCCTGGAGGCGGCTCAGCAGGTTGAAGAGTTCGGGTTTCTACTTTTTCCAGGCTTCTGGTCTAGTCTAAAAACCTTCTATGCCGCCAAGTTTCCCTCTACCAGAGAAGGACTCTTAGCTTTTATTGCTGACTCTGGCAGGGAGGGGCCTAGTGAATCTGGTCAGTTTCAGGGACTTCCTGAAGCTAGTTTGAGTTGTTTACCTTCCTGCTTAAGGAGCCTCCTCCAGGATAGAATGTTTGGATCTCAGAGGAAACTGCTACTCAACGAGACAGGCTCAGTGCCCTGCTCTGTGTGCTCTCCCATAGTGTCTGCCTGAGGGTAGGAAGTGAGGGGGAGGAAGTTGGGACAGAGGGAAGAAGTGTTCGGAACCAGCATTGGATCCTATTACCTGTGTCTTGAAGAAGGGCCTACGTTTGTCCTGACTTCAAGGAATCAGATCTGGGATCTCCCTCTGAGGTGGTAAAGTTCATTTGTCTGTCCCAAGACAAGCAGTTTTAGAAGGTTTACTACTAACCAAGTGTGGTGGTGCACACCTTAGGCCTTGCTTTGCCCTTGCTTTTTTGAGGTAGAGGCAGGCAGATGATGAGTTGAAGGCCAGCCTTGTTTGCATAGTGAATTCAAGGCCGGGGTATACCACATGAGACCCTGGTGACACACACTTTTAATCCCAGCACTCCAGAGGCAAAGGCAGGTGGATTTCTGTGAGTTTGAGGTCAGCCTGGCCTACACAGTGAGTTTTAGGACAGCCAGGACTGTTACAGAGAGTCTCTCTGTCTCTGTCTCCCTCTCTTAAGCCAGGGCTAGACAGAGAGACCCTATCTTCAAAAGCCAAAACTAAGGCTGGAGAGAGAGAGAGACTGAGAGAGAGAGAGACAGAGAGAGACAGACAGACAGACAGACAGAGAGACACACACATATACACAGACAGACAGAGACACACACATAGAAAGACAGACAGACAGACAGAAAGCGCTAGCTAGCTCTTGGCAAAAGCACTTGCTGCTTTTGTAGAGAAGCCAGGTTCAATTCCCAGCACCCACACAGTACCTTGCTCCTCTTACTCCTGTGTAACCCTGCCCTAGGGGTCTGACCCTCTTTTGGCCTCTGCCTGTGCCATGTCCACACTGTGGTGTACAAATATACATGCAGGCAAAGCGCTCATGTGCATTAAACACTTGTACAAATGTTCTCTACTATCATAGAGGAACCAGACTACACTTTGCCCACAGATGGCCCTGGTGATGGGAGGTGGTGACAGTGAATGCATGTCTTGGAGCTGTAAGGCCCCTCACTGAGTGACTGCTGCCTCTTGTCCAGAGACAGCTTTCTGGGAAGAGTGGATGACAGAGGGATGTTAGAGGGATGTGTGGAGACAAGACTGCTGGTCTTTCTGTGTGTCCTTCAAACACTTCAGACAAGGGTTTTCCCACATTAGATCCTTTTCTTCCCGTGTCAAGCTAAGGTCCTGGTGTTACTTCGGGCTCTATTCCTACAAGTGAATCTATCCTCTAAATCGAGAGGTCAGAACGTGGGCCTCAGACATCTCCAGGGAAAAGCCTCAAAAGTGTCCCCTGCTTGTGGTCTCTGGTCTTATAGATACATGCAGTAACCCTGCTGCACATATACCTGAATCCTCGATGATGTTACTGTCCCTCTAGTGTCTTGCTCTTCCTACCTCAGTTGCTTTGAAACTTGATGGCTGTGTGTAAGTCCCTGATGAACCAGGCCTTTATTGCTTTCATTCTGCACATGGGGCTTTATCTAAGATATCTTTGTTCCTTCATCCTTCCCCCTGGTTCATACCACAACACGCCACATGCACACATGAATACATACATACCACACACGCCACATGCACATACGAATACATACATACCACACTCACCATACACATACACAATACATACATACCACACTCACCACACACATACACAATACATACATACCACACTCACCACACACATACACAATACATACACACCACACTCAACACACACATACACAATACATACACACCACACACATACACAATACATACACACCACACACATACACAATACATACACACCACACACATACACAATACATACATACCACACTCAACACACACATACACAATACATACACACCACACACATACACAATACATACACACCACACACATACACAATACATACATACCACACTCAACACACACATACGCGATACATACACACCACACACATACACAATACATACATACCACACTCACCACACACATACACAATACATACACACCACACACATACACAATACATACACACCACACACATACACAATACATACACACCACACACATACACAATACATACACACCACACACATACACAATACATACATACCACACTCAACACACACATACGCAATACATACACACCACACACATACACAATACATACATACCACACTCACCACACACATACACAATACATACACACCACACACATACACAATACATACATACCACACTCACCACACACATACACAATACATACACACCACACACATACACAATACATACATACCACACTCACCACAGACATCCACAATACATACATACCACACTCACCACACATACACAATACATACATACCAATGCACCACATAAATACACAACACATACCATGCACACCACATACATATACACATAGATACATGCCAACACACCACAGACATCCACAATACATAAATACCACACACACTATATATATATAAATGCACACAAATATACCACACACACCCTCTTTCTGCTGAGTCAGGAAGTACCAGTGTTGTCCTGAATTTGCAGCATTTTTATCATGTGAATTGTGTATCTCCACTAGACTGTACGTACACCCCTAGATCACACATCATTGGGTCACACCTACCTAAGGGTTCCCATCAAAGGCCTCAGGACAAGGAGGCCAAAGTAGAGGAGGCTATAGATGACAGACAGTCCGAAACAGAACAGCTAAAGCCATCTGAAGCCCACAGCCTCATGCAGGGCCTCTGGAATAATCGCCCAGCATGATCACTGGGAGGGAATGAGGCGGGCAGGGGCAGGTGAAGGCAGAATGGGCACGGTCCACTTTCCTAGCATGGTCCAGCCTGCTCCTGCCATTGGAAGATTACCTGGATGCTTTCTGGCCCATAGCAAGCCTTATAAGGTTAGGACATCTCTCCCTCCATCTGCCTACAGTGATGATTCTACCACCTCCGGTGATGCTGTCCACAGGAGCCATGCAGACAGAATCTTGCACACAGAAATGAGATGAGCACACATGATTAAGGATGTTTCAGAGCTAGATAATGGAGTCTGCCCTCCTCATTCTATAACTGAGGAAGTAGATTTGGGCAGAGATGTGACTTTACAGGAAACCCTGGGGTCTTGTCCTGCTGGGAGTTCTACACCTTTTGTGGACTAAGGGACTCTGTCAGTGGCATGATCTAAGCGTATGAAGCATTTGCTCTTTCTGTCTCCAGAGCTGCAAGTGCAGACGTCTAGTTCATGTTTGTGCTTAGAGAACAATTGCTGAGGCCTGGACCTGCAGGCTTGTCTTAGCGGGGTACATGCTGGGAGCCAAGCGATGCCAAGACAGCTGTCCTCGGGGACAGCCTTCAAGGCCTGAGATAAACCAGGGACAAACCTGTCCTGGTGTGGCAGATGCCAACAGGAAGGCTGTTCAGGAAGCAGAGGACATGGCTACCAGGGTCACAGGCCGGACAAGTATGACAGGGATGAAGCAGACTGTAAGCAAACAGGAGTCTTAACCACGATAGAGGAGTTAAGTTCTACCATAGCCTAAAGAAGGTAACAGTTACATGGTAGGAAGGAGCTGAGCCCTGCTGGAGCCTAGAATGATGATACAATATGTCTCTAGAAATTTTACTTATTCTTTATGCCAAGAACTCTTAGTTTCCTTGAGAAATAGTTCCAAAATAGTTGCCTTGTCCTGCTGCTTCTGTTAACATGCTTGGTTTTTTGGTGCTTTGTTTTTCTAAGACAGGGTTTCTCTGTGTAGCCCTGGCTGCCCTAGAACTTACTCTGTAGATCAGGCTGGCCTCAAACTCAGAGATCTGCCTGCTTCTGCCTCCCCCAGTGCTGGGGTTAAAGGCATACACTACCGCCACTGGGCGTAAACATGCTGGGTTTTTTTGTTTGTTTGTTTGTTTTTTGGTTTTACGAGACAGGGTTTCTCTGTATTGTTTTGGAGGCTGTCGGTCCAGCCCGGCCTCGAACTCACAGAGATTCGCTTGCCTCTACCTCCCGAGTGCTGGGATTAAAGGCATGCGCCACCACTGCCCGGAAAACATGCTGGTTTTTAAAAACTGAGAAAAATGAATTGTTGCTAGAAGTCTGTAATCATAGGAACTAAAGTGTAAAGCCCACCAATCAGGAGAAATCGCAAAAGCGACACTGTACATACAGCCATTAGCAGCTGTATGAGACAATGGATCAGGGTCTGACCACTTTGAGGATTAGCTTGAGTTATCACCAACTAATACAGTTGAGTTCTCCACCTCTCCGAGTGCAAACTGGCGGTGTCTTGGGTGGGGGTCTGCTTCTCTCAGCCTGACATTGAGGACAGACTGTTATTGAAGCAAAGAACAAGGACTGGTGAGGTGCCCAGGGAGGCAGGCAGCAGATGCCATGTGGGTGAGACAAAGCCTAGATTCTCTTGAAGGTCGATGACTTAACAGGTGTTTTAGAAGTTCTCATGTGGTTGTGGTATCAAAGGGGAAAGCTAACTCAGAACAAATTTTACCTGAAAGTATAGTCCTGGGAGATGCCGCTGCCTTCTTCCAGGAGGGGGCGCTGCAGGACAAGCCGGGAACTAGTTTGGTTAAGTCACCCCTGGGCTCTCTTAGCCAAGGCATCTGGGCCTTAAGGCTCAGTTCACTTCATTCCCAGTGACTGCAAGTTCTTGTGCCAGAGAGATGAAAAGATGTCAGGGGTCTGGATCTAGGCTCTGAGAGGTGCCCTCAGAGTCCTGTGTCTTCTAAAAGTAATCCCATCTCATGCCCGCTCTCTGCCTGCTCTAGTACTGGAGTCTATCTCCAAATACAGTTTTCTAATGTAAGCACCACTCTGAGCCAGCAAAAAGCATCTTTCACAAGTACATCTTTGGGAGTCTTGGCCATTCTCAAACATAGGCGTGACCTTGGCATCTTTTTGGTTTTTTTTTCAAGACGGGGTTTTCCTGTGTAACAGTTCTGGCTGTCCTAGAACTCACTCTGTAGACCAGACTGGCCTCAAATTCAGATGTATGCCTGCCTCTGCCTCCCGAGTGCTAGGATTAAAGGTGTGTGCCACCACCGCCTGACTGCGACCTTGGCATCTTAGTAAGACACACAGGGACAGCTGGAGCTGAGAAGTGTTCTAAAGACAGGACTATCGTGTGTTAGCTTCCTACCTGAGGGTGGGCACTGTCAATGCCTTCCTAGTTCAGGCCAGGCCGAATCCTGCTGCAGAGGAGTCAATGCCTAGGTGTCCTGAGAAGATTCCAAGTGCTGGAATAAGGTAGTTTAAGGTCAGGGGCCAGCATCCTCACGGAGTAACTGCCTCTCTTTGCCTTCTAGAGTAAACAATGGGCATGGGTTTTATTTTGAGAAAGGTTCTTGCTATGTAGCCCTGGCTGATCTGGAAGTCTCTATGTAGACCAGGCTGGCCTTGAACTTGCAGCAATCCCCCTGCTTCTGCCTCCCAAATGCTAGGATTACAGATGCACAGCACCACACCCAGCTCTAATGGACATATTAATAGTCCTTTCAGAATGGCTCAGAGATTAAATAGAGTAATCTGCATAAAATCAGAACACCACCAGCACACCAACCTGACTTTACCTCACAAAAGACAATGTTTGAAATCGGGACACTGTAGGGAAATGGGCATGGTGGTTTCTACAAGTGATGCCAAGAGGAAGAGGAAGCCCCCGCCCCCTCCTTTTTGGCAAGGAGCCCAGGACTTGAAGGAGGAAGATTAGAGATGGAACAGCTCACAGCGGCTTCTCAGTCCAGCATACTGGCAAAGGAAACACGGGGCAGAATCGACCTTCTTAAAAAAAGCCCCCAACCAGCTCAGACCTGTCCTTGTCTGCAACACTAGTTAATAAGCATGGCTGGTGACTAGCCAGCTGACTCAAGTTGTGCCAGTTAACCCTGCTCCAAAGGGTTGCACAGGTCCCTTCTCCTCAAGGACTCCTGGAGTACCACATGGCTTCAAGAACAGAACACTGGGGCTGGAGATGGCACAGCAGTTAAACTTGCTTACTGCTTTGACAGAGGATCCAGGTTCAGTTCCCAGCATCCACATCAGGTAGCTCACTACTTCCTGTTCCAGGAAATCTGATGCCATCTTCTGGCCTCTTCGGGCACCTGCACTCATGTACACACGCACACACGCACGCGCACACACACAGAGTGAGAGACATGCATACATATAAATAAATAATGAATCTTAAACTAGAACCAGCCGGGCGTTGGTGGCGCATGCCTTTAATCCCAGCACTCGGGAGGCAGAGGCAGGCGGATCTCTGAGTCCAAGACCAGCCTGGTCTACAAAAGCTAGTTCCAGGACAGCCTCCAAAGCCACAGACCCTGTCTTGAAAAACAAACAAAAACAAAAAAAGAACCACCTTCCGTGACCACCAGCCCAGGGGCCCCAGGATCCTTCTATAATCTTGAAATGGCAGATTTAGCAGCAGCCTAATAGGAAGTCTCACACCCTGTCTACTAAAAATATTTGGAGAACTCTTGGGACTCAGTCATGAGCTGAGCCATTAGCTCAGAGCTGCTGTGTAGTCCGTGAAAACGGGGAAAATAACCAATCTACAGCAATAAACAAGCATTCTATTATTAAAGAAACCCAACCCCAAACAAACGACCACACACCATGATGTCACATTTTTTTCTGACTTATTTACTGACATTTCTGAGATGTTCTACAGTTCCCCTTTGTCTCCTCTCTGCCAAGGCAGGGGCCCTCCTCCCTATGTATAATACAGAAATCTCCTTTTCTGTGGGAAGGGCATGCCTGGGCCTGAAAAGGTCTGATCACAAGGGAGGGTGGGTGAAGATCCCTAAGGGATGACCTATTGCCGTCACTAGTCCTGAGATGGCCTAGTCCCAAGACCAGCAAAGCTTCTTGCCATCTCCCCATAGGACTCAACCAAGCTGGTTCCTTTTACTGGGCTTTCTCTTCTTGTCAGATCACAAATCAGGCTGAACAGCCCAGACTGAACTTTCATTGGCCCTGCTGGCTCGTAGGACCACAAGGGGCAGGCCACAGCCTGATCCTGCATACATCACTAGCCTGAGATACAGCACTTGCTGCCTTGCAAGTCTGAGGAGTCAATGACGGATGGATGGGCTTTTCCTGGGTCACCTTCATGGGCTCCAAGCCCTGGCCCAAGCTGATTTATTAAACAAAAGACACTGTCTTTGCTATAGCCAATCCCACTCCCGGTCCCCTCCCTGGTCCCTCTGTCCCACGGGAGGAAGGTCACGTGTAGGCTCACAGGTTGTTCCTCTGAAGTGCTTCACACAGGTTCTGGTTGGCATCTGGCTCTTCCGTCAGCATTTCCACAGTCTCCCATTCTCCAGATCGGCTTGACCTTTTAATAGCATCCACCACGCTCTGCATATATAGTCCGTCCTCAAAAGAGGCAGCCATAGAGACAGGGGCGCGGTCCCAAGTACGGCGATCCCCCTGGCCCTGGAAGGATTGGCGCAAGGCCTGCACCATGTAGACCATACCTTTCAAGTAGAGCAATGGGACATCCTGGAGACCCTGCTCAGGGAGCCCTGCACCCACAGCCAGTGAGTCTCTCACCAGCAGCTCCTCCTGTGTGGCAGAGTTCTTCTGCCCATAGAGGTCGGCTCCCCGGGCAACAAGGCGTCCTGCTGAGCCCACAACCATGACTTCATGTACAAAGGCACCTGGCATGTTGAAGTTGAGTGTCACTGTGCTGCACACCCCCCCACCCATGAGCATCTGGAAAAAACAGAAGTCATCACTGGTGACATGCCGGATGCCTCGGATGGTGGCATTCTGTCTCACAAAGGTCTTGAGTAACCCATGCACCTTCTCAGCTTTCCGGCCAGTCAAGTGGGTCAACAGGTCCACAATATAGGTACCCATGGTGTGCAGGCCCCCACCACCCATAAGCTCATCACAAATCCAGCCATAGCTGGGGCTGAGCAGGCTCCCGGAGTAGACGCGAGCATCGCAGATCATCACTGCCCCGACGTAGTGCTCTGCGATCAGTTGCTTCATGCGCACAAAAGCCGGCAAGAAGCGCAGCACGTTCCCCACCAGGCTCATCAGCTGTGGGTAGTAGCGGGACGCTGTCACCATCCGGAAGGCATCCACTGATGTCGCTGCCTTTTCACAGACCACGTTCTTCCCGATTCCTGTAAATAAAAGACAATGGGAAGTCTTCAAAGTTTCACAAGATCTGCCTTGTAGGGGGAAATTTTTTTTCTTTTTTTGAGACAAGTTTCTCTAGTAGCTTTGACTGTCCTGGAACTCATTCTGTAGACCAGGCTGGCCTCGAACTCAGAGATCTGCCTGCCTCTGCCTCCCAGGCACTGGGATCAAAAGTGTACGCTACCATAACACAATTGTATTTCCCAAGCCTGACAAAGTGGGATATACCTGTCATCTTAGCATTTGGGTGGGTGGGATGGAGACAGGAAGATAACGGAGTTTGATGCCAGCCTGGATTACATAAGATTCAGTCTACACACACACACACACACACACACACACACACACACACACACACACACACACACACCCTCTCCAGATGGCCCAGGAATGTCTCCTGCAGAAACAAGTGATCTGGAGGGAGGAGATTTAAGACATATTGAAGAAGTCTCAGTGACTGGAGGAATAAGTTCTTTCACTGGAGTGGTGGTGGATGGGAGTTTCTGGGGTCAGGGAACAGGACCAAAGGCACAGAGTGGGGGGGTGACAAATGCCAAGACAGTAAGGCAGAGAAGGGCCAAGAGTTAGACTTGCTAACAATCTGGCTGCATGCCAGGACACAGAACCAGAGAGATTATGTGGTATTTAACGCGATGTGGGAAAGCAGACAGACAATAGATATCACTTACTCCCAGACATTCAAGGTAAGATACAAACGGGGCTCTGGAGAGTCCCTTGCTCAAATTTTCCCCGTTTAGGTTTCCTGAATTAAAAAAAAAAAATATATATATATATACATATACATATATATATAACTGGAGGAACCTCATACATGCCACTTTAAAAAAGATTTTGTATCTGTGTGGTGTATGAAAGTGTGTGTGCTTATATGTGTGCATGTGAATGTGTGGTTGGTCATACAATGCATGCGTAAGAAGGCCAGCGCCAAAATTAGGTGTCTGCTTCTAGTACCTTCCACTTTTTTTTTTTTTTTGATACACGGTCTCTCAGTGTAGCCAAAGCTTGTCTTGAACTCACTATGCAGATCAGACTGGCCTTGAAGTCACAGAGATCCTCCTGCCTCTGACTCCTGAGTGTGGAGATTAAAAGTATTTACCACACCAGGCCACTTTATTTTTGATACAGTCTCTCACTGAACCTGGTTATACTGGCTGGCCAGCCAGTGCCCATCTCTGCCTCCGCACCTCTGGGGTTTCGGATATACGCTGCTATGTCCTCTTTATGAGGGTACTGGGGATCCAAACTCAGGTCCCCACAGCAAGCACTTTGCTAACTAAACCCTAGTCCCTTATAGCCACAGGAGGCCGTGCCTTTGAATGGGGTACTGAATTCCTGGCCTTTCTCCTGCTCTTTCTCTGTGCCCCTGGGCGGGCCGGGTGCTCACACACCCAACCACAGCAGTCAGAGGCTGAAGCAGGAGGGTTACGAGCTCGAGGCCAGCCAAAGCTACACAGTGAGAGTCTGTTTCAAAGGCGTACAGAGCAGTCCTCCTCCACCACGTGCTCTCCTATCTCAATGGGCCCAGAGGCAGGAAAGCTACTACCATGGCTAAATGGCTAGCCCTCCAGCAAAGCAAACTTTCCTTTTAAACCCACAGATCCTCCTGCTGCTGCCTCCAAGTGCTGGGATTAGCATTGCCACCGGCCTGGCTGACCAGGCTGACCTGCACTTTTAAGTTGTATATCTCAAATATTTGTCCTGGTGATGGAATCTAAAACACAACATAAAACTTACGATGGATCAGCATACTTCTCCCAAAAACCCTTCCAATGGACTCATATCTCATTCAGAAGAAAAGTCAAAGTCCTGGCATCAGGCATGACAGCACATACCTATAATTCCAGCACTTGGGAGGCAGAGACATGAGGACTATGAGTTGGAGGCCAGCCTGAACTACACCAAAAGACTTTGTCCCAAAAAGAATTAGGGCTGTGAGTCGGGCATTGGTGGCGCACGCCTTTAATCCCAGCACTTGGGAGGCAGAGGCAGGTGGATCTCTGTGAGTTTGAGGACAGCCTGGTCTACATGTACAGATCGAGTTCCAGGACAGGCTCCAAACCTACACAGAGAAACCCTGTCACAAACAAACAAACAAATAAATAAATAAATAAATGGATTAGGGCTGTTAAGATGGCTCAGTTGGGGTTTGGGGGAAGCCCTTGCTATGTAAGCCTGATGACATGAGTTCAATCTCCAGATTCACGCACGTGCGCACACACACCCTACATACACATATATGATAACATACATGACAATAATTTGTTTGTTTGTTTGGAGACAGGGTTTATCTGTGTAACAGCCCTATCTGTCCTGGAACTAACTTTGTAGACCAGGCTGGCCTTGAACTCCTAGAGCTCTCCCGTCTCTGCCTCCTGAGTGCTGAGATCAAAGGCATGTGCCACTATGTCTGGCTGACCATAATAAATTTTAAAAGTACAACCTTGCCTGGTGTATACATTCAATTTCAGCATGGAAATTTAGAAGGATTCAGTCTCAAGAAGTAAAAGAGGACTAGGGATGAGCCCAGCTCTTGCCCAGCACATGAGGCCCTAGGGTCAACCCCAGGCACTGAAAAAACACAAAATTCTATTAGTGGTCCACTGATAGAACCTTCATTTCTGACTAGAGACCCTTTGAAAACTTTCCTTTCGCTCTTTCTGCCTGCCATGGCCCCTCCCACACACAGCCTTACCAGCCACTGGTTGGAGGTGGTGTTGCTGTGGAGAGCCCAGTGGTCAGGGAGAGGCAGCGGTTATTAGCACCAAGGCAGCTGACAGGCAGAACTGGGTACCATCACAGTAAGGGAAGTCTTGACAGGGATTATACTCTGTAGACCAGAGTGACCTTGAACCCAGAGATCCACCTGCCTCTGCCTGGCTTTATTCCTGGTCCTTATGGGAGACATCTTGAACAGTGTGTGCACACATGGGCCATCTGGACTGACCTCCTGGCTCCACAGGTGCTGTCTGGTTGGAGGGGTAGTCTCCAAACCGTGACGTCCCTCTCCTGGGTCCTTACTGTACTCCTCTCTAGGTGTGTCCCTCTGCTAGAGCCATAGTGCTCATGTTTCCAGATCAGACAAAGGTGGGGTGCAGATGACTTCTGGTGGCTCACTGCAGGGCAGATTATCCTGATGGGTGGATCCTGTTCCCACAGGTTCAGCAGGGAAATTCATCTAGCCATCTTTCACCATGAACACTGGTTACATTGACTATAAATTTTGTGGCAAAAGAAAAAAAACTATAAAAATAAAAATGACTGATGCCTCCTATGATGGATGGGCCTCCGGCCAGCCAAATGGCAAGAAAGTGCCAACTGTAAGTGTTAGTGACAAACTTAAACACAGACCAGATATTTCTGTCATCTAAATGTTTTTCAGTTCATACGGAATGACCTGCGGTTTCTGTCCTCCTGTCAAGAGTTTTGGTTCGTCACCTTCCCCGGAGAACGACTGGGTTAACTGAGGTAGCCCAGGTGAGGCCCCTGGCTCAGCACAACTGTCACCGCAGGAGAGGAGTCACCACAGGAGAGGGGTCACCACAGGAGAGGGAGTCACCACAGGAGAGGGGTCACCGCAGGAGAGGGGTCACCGCAGGAGAGGGAGTCACCACAGGAGAGGGGTCACCACAGGAGAGGGAGTCACCACAGGAGAGGGATCACCACAGGAGAGGGAGTCACCACAGGAGAGGGGTCACCACAGGAGAAGGGTCACCACAGGAGAGGGGTCACCACAGGAGAGGGAGTCACCACAGGAGAGGGAGTCACCACAGGAGAAGGGTCACCACAGGAGAGGGGTCACCGCAGGAGAGGGAGTCACCGCAGGAGAGGGCATCACCGCAGGAGAGGGGTCACCGCAGGAGAGGGGTCACCACAGGAGAGGGCATCACCACAGGAGAAGGGTCACCACAGGAGAGGGGTCACCACAGGAGAGGGCATCACCACAGGAGAGGGCATCACCACAGGAGAGGGGTCACCGCAGGAGAAGGGTCACCACAGGAGAGGGGTCACCGCAGGAGAGGGGTCACCACAGGAGAGGGGTCACCGCAGGAGAGGGCGTCACCGCAGGACAGGGAGAATGCACTAGAGCAGAAGGGCTTCCTGTAACTCAGACTTCAAGACTCACACAAGTGCCACAATTTCCAGGCAGACAGTTTCTGTGTTTAATATGCTGAAGTGTTTTTTCACCTTCTTGAGGGAGAGGGGGCTTAAGATAGGGTCTTACTCTATAGGCCAGGCTACCTTCAAACTTCTTATATCATATTCCCTATTACATCAGTACTGCTTACAAGGCCTCTCACAGAAATGAGCTCTGTGCAATCTCCTGCTCTTCCTCAAATAACTGAAGCTTCAACAACAGGTACAGGCAGGATGACAGAATAGCCAGCTTCTGTCCCATGTCAGGGCAGGGGACAGAATGCCCAGGCTTTTGCATAGGAGCCTTGCAGGAGGGAAAGGAGTCCCAGCTGCCATTATTACTGCTTCTGGAGGGTCTCCAATGCCCCCCTCTTTGTGATTTCTGATGAGGGACAGGAGTGTCTCAATACTAGAGGTAACTGCCATCTGGCTGACCACTGAGCTGTAATTGGGTTATCAGACATAACCTACAGAGAGTGGCAGTTCTGACCACCTAGAAGCTTCTATTATAACAACACATTGCTCGCTTGTGGCAGACACTACAGAGGGGGCAGTGAAGTAAGTTTGAAGGAGAAGGGTGGGAGAAGCCCCACTTCCAGCATGCCCAGCAGAAGAGATCTCAGACATAGGACCCAGGAGTCTTAGCATGGAAATCAAAAGTAATCAGACGAGCCGGGCATTGGTGGCACACGCCTTTAATCCCAGCACTCGGGAGGCAGAGACAGGCAGATCTCTGTGAGTTTGAAGCCAGCCTGGTCTACAAAGTGAGTTCCAGGACAGCCTCCAAAGCTACCCAGAAACCCTGTCTCGAAAAACAAAACAAACAAACAAACAAACAAAAGTAATCAGACATAACTGGGCTCCCGTAGGCTGGCCATGCAAACTTCAGCTTTTGTTAGACTCGGGTTATCTTGAATACACCCTCAAGTTTATCCAGCTCTCCTGCCAGGAAGTCAAAAGAGACATTATTGAATGAAAACTGCTACTTGCTTCCTGGCAGCAGGAGACTGAGTTCCTAGGTACTTTTTTTTTCTTTGTTTGTTTGTTTCTGCGACAGGTTTTCTCTGTGTAACAGATCTGACTGTCCTAGAACAGGCTGACTTTGAACTCATATTTGTCTCTACCTCCTGAGTGCTAGTATTAAAGGAATGCACTACCACTGCCCAGCATCCTGAGTATTAGATTCTGCAGTGTGCTAAGCACATACTCTACCACTGAGCCTTGCTGCTCCCCGCTCCCCCAGTAATTTTTACCTGAGGTTCTCTGGAGGGTAAATGTGTTTTAAGCTGTAAGCCTCTCTCTAGCTACAGATCTCTTACCAAGGCCCACAGGAGCTGTCCCAGTCATCCTCAGAACACTTCTTTGTTGCCTAGTAACAAACACTGTAGGAGTGGGGTTCTCAGGCTGGGCTCAGGCCTGGGAGTGAGTGACTCATAAAGCAGGGTAGAGAGGGGACCCAGAAAGGCTTCACTTTCATGCGCTATGTCTAACAAAACCCAGGGAGACGCACATGTACACAGCCTTGCTCACTAGTGTGTGTTTGCACACACTAGTATATTGTAGTCACATTGTGTGCATGTGGGTGCATGTGCCTTGGCCCATGCTGGCCAGAGGACAGCTTTACTTTTCTCCTCTCACCTTTATATGGGCTCCAGAGATCAAATCCAGATGGCCACGACTGCATGGACAGCGCCTTTACCCACTGAGCCATCTCAGTGGCTCCCATTTGCTTTTTTAACAGTTTTTTAAAATTTATATGCATTGGTGGGTTGCTTGTGGGGGGTGCCAGGCCCTGGAGATACGGACAGTTGTGAGTGCCACGTGGGTGTTAGGAATTGAATCTGGGTCCTCTGGAAGAACAGTCAGAGCCCTTAACCACTGAGCCATCTCTCCAGCCCCTTTGTTTTTTTGGGGTTTTTCAAGATAGGGTTTCTCTGTGTAACTTTGTAGACAGGCTGTTCAGCAAAATAAAAAATTTTAATAATTTATTTTTATTTTACATTCATTGATATTTTACTTGCAAGTACTTCTGTGTGAGGGTGTCAGAAGCTGGAGTTACAGACAGGTGTGAGCTGCCATGTGGGTGCTGGGAACTGAACCTAGGTCTTCTGGAGAAGCAGCCAGTGCTCTCAGCCCCTGAGCCATCTCTCCAGCCCTTATTTTGTTTTATTGAGAGAAGGTCTCTCTATGGAGTCTTGGCTGTCTTGGAACTCACTATGTAGACCAGACTGGCCACAGAGATCTGCCAGCCTCTGCCTTCTGAACTCGGGGATTAAAAGTGTCCCCACCACACCAGGCCCAGCTACTAGAAATATGAGTTTGAAAAACAGCAGAGCAGGCTCTCACTCTTGCTTTCAGCCCATCTCATTCTTTCCTGGCCTCGGGTCCATGTTAGCTCACTGGCCACCAGCAAAATGACCTACAAGGGTGCAAACTATAAATGTCTCATTTACCCAGTATGCCAGGTCCTGGTCGAGCAGTGGGGGACACAGTGTATCAGTCATGGATTTACTTGAAAAGTTACACTTTAAGGTTCAGATGACCATTCAGGAATCTGGTTTGGTCTGGACTCAGAGAGGCTTCCTAAGGAACTGGAATTCTTGAGATTAAATTATCTGGGTCAGTCTGCTTGGAGAACAATCTTTTGTTATCATAACAGTCCATGACAAAAGTAAACATAATGAGTGTGTATATAGAAATTATATAGACATATATATTTTTTAAATAAATCTTCTTTTTTATTTTATTTATTATGTATACTGTCTTCTGCCTGCATGCCAGCAGGGGGCACCAGATCTCACTCAAGGTGGTTGTGAGCCACCATGTGGTTGCTGGGGAATTGAACTCAGGACCTCTGGAAGAACAGTCAATGCTCTTAACCACTGAGCCATCCCAGCACTCGACATATATATATTTAATTTTAATTAATTTTATAAACTTTATTGCTTAATAATAACAACAAAACCCCCTTTAAATAATAATACAAACAGCCGGGCGTTGGTGGTGCACGCCTTTAATCCCAGCACTCGGGAGGCAGAGGCAGGCGGATCTCTGTGAGTTCGAGGCCAGCCTGGTCTACAGAGCGAGTTCCAGGACAGCCTCCAAAACAATATAGAGAAACCCTGTCTCGAAAAACCAAAAAAAAAAAAAAAAAAAAAAAAAAAGAAAATATCCAAGCAACATTCCTGGGCCTCAGTTATATTCTCTTCTTTTTCTTTTGTTTGGGGTGCTAGGGACTGAACCCAAAGCCTCACATACACGAGCTCTGCTTGAGCTACACCTCCAAGTCCCAATGGGCTTCAGATTCAGAGGAAAGTTGAGGAGTCAGTCTCTCCTTTCACTGTGTGATTCAGGAGCTCAAACTCAAGTTGCCAGCCTTGGCAGCAAATACCTTAAACCACCAAGCTACCTCACCGCCCCCTTTTTCTTTTTCCCCTTCCTTCCTTCCTTCCTTCCTTCCTTCCTTCCTTCCTTCCTTCCTTCCTTTTTAGAAACAGGGTTTCCTTGTGTAACAGCTCTGGTTGTCCTGGAACTCACTCTGTAGAGCACGCTGGCCTCGAACTCACAGAGATCCGCCTGCCTCTGGCTCCCGAGTGCTGGGATTAAAGGTGTGCACCACCACCGCCCAGCTCTCCTTTTCTTTTTTAAACACAGTTTTTCCATGTATCTCATGCCGCCCTTTAACTCATTATGGAGCCAAGAGGATTTTGATCTTCTGGTCTTCCTGCTCCACCTCCCAAATGCAGGGACTGTGGGTATATACACATCACCACACTGAGTTTTACGTGGCTCTGGAGACTTTGCCCTGATACAGCAAACACTCTACCAACTAAGTCACATTCTTTAACTGACAACCAAGACATTACAATGGGTCTGCGGCCCTTCACCCACAGTGTGCATGAGAACCACGCAGGAAGCTGGCCAGTCACAGTGTGGGGCCCACTCAGGAGGCAGCAGGCTTTAGGGGCTTGAGGAATTACAGTTCTATTCTTACAACTATCCCAGGTGACATCGCTTCTTTGGTAGTGCTGTGTGGGGACCCCTGCAGTGTGGGGGGAACTGGACAAGTTCTGTGAGCCTTTTCCACAGTACTGAGTCAAGGCAGAACTCTCACTAAGAAAACGAGAGCACAGAATGGGCGCTGACTAGACACTCAGGGCACACACAGACCTCGCTGTTCTAAAGACATGGTTCTTCTGACTGGCAGGAGAAGTCTGAGAGGACACTGGTCTGTGTCACTATATGTAAGAGAAACTCACTAGGAACAGAAGAGCAGTTGACTAGGCCACACCCAGCCAGGGTCAGAGGTCCCCAAGCCCAGTTTCCCAAGGGAGTGGAAATGTGAGCACGCTGTCCTGCGTTTGGTGTCAGGAAAGTCAGGGCTGACAGAGCCTTCCTGCTGTCTGGCAATGCCAGGAAGGGTGGTGCTCACTACAGTCAAGGGCTGCCAAAGCATGGGAACTGTAGCCTTCTAGACAGCCTCCCCTCCTTCCTGTAGTCTGTGTGACACAGAATGGCAGAACAAACACATGAGTCACAACTGCGTTGCAGGGTCCAGGGAGTGCTGACTTCCCAGAGGCAGACCTGACAGTCAAGAAGTGCAACTATCTCCAGCTCCTTGATGGGCTGGGTTTGGGCTCAGAGGGTTTCTAGTGAACAGGAGGAAGGCAAGGTTCAAGCCCTTTTTTCCTCTTTAGAGCTGTTAGAATCTCCAACATACCTTCCCCAGCCCTGCCCCAGTGATGTCCCCGGGCACTGTTACTTGCAGATGCAGACAAAGGACTGCCCAGAAGAACACACCCTGCCCGCCATGGCCTGAAGGTGCATACCTAGAGCCTTCACGGATATCTGCCGGGTGAGAGGAGGGGGGATGTTGATGCACACCAGGTCCACATCTTGATGCAGCAAGACGTCATCGGTCCGGCTGGTGTAGAAGGCGATGTTCATCTCCTCCGCCAGCTGCTTTGCTTCCTCCTCGGTCTTCCCCCACAGGGCCTCCACAGTGAACCCCTCTGCCCTCAGCAGCGGGACGAGGACCCGGGCTGAGCTGCCAGTCCCAAACACACCCACTCCTGGCAGCAACTTCATCCTGGCCTCTCCTCAACAACTCATCTCCTTACAAGGGTCTCCAGAACAGAGTTGACCTTCCCATAGTCCTGATCAAACATGGCTCCTAAAACAGTAAGAAAGAAACACTTAGTTGTGGAGATCATGCTCACTGGAACCTACATTCTTGGGTATTTGGAAGCAACAAGTTTTCTGCCCCTAAGGCACAAATAAGGTATTTTTCCAAAATAAAAAAACTGAAGGCTCTTGTTCCTAGAACACTGAAAGATACCACAACTTAGTCACCTGTTAGACATAGAGAAAACAAAACAAACAAACAAATAAATGAGAAGTGGAGGTCAAATTCTTATTCTGCTAAAGTTTCTGTATAATTTTGGGCAAGTAATTTAGCCTTCAAGACTTCAACAACAAAAAGGATTGATCTTTAACTTCCTTCTTTTCAAAAGTATTTATTTTATGTGTGTGTGTGTGTGTGTGTGTGTGTACCTGAGTTATGTCTGTGCATCACACATGTGCAGGAAACCAGGGGGGCCAGGAGAGGGCACTGGATTCCCCTGGAATCGGAGTTCCAGGCTACTGTGAACCTCCATGTGGGTGCTGGGTCTTCTGCAAGAGCAGTGATGCTCTTAACTTCCGAGTCATCTCTCCAGCCCTTAAAGTTGTTTCTTGCTGTATATTTAGTGGTTTCATTATATGACAAGAAAAAGTAGGAAATAAAAACAGCATACAAGGAAAGGAAAGGTAGCTATGGTTGCAGCACCATGACGACAAGCATTTGGGGGAGGTTGGTGAAGCTGGAACTCAATACTGAGACCAAGCTGGCCTCAAAGGTACAGAGATACACCTGTCTTTGCCTTTCATGTTGGGACTAAAGGTCTAAGTCACTATACCTAGCTCTGCAGACCATTAATTATTAAAAGCCAGGGGTGTCCATATCCTCTGTGAAATTATGTCCAGGACAACACACTTCCTCCTATTTCACACTACACTCCTAAATACTCTAGTCATATATGGTATGTATATAAATAAATAATATTTATGCACATATTTTATTTATTCAATGAAATGGGGCGGTGTTTCTGTGTAGCTCTTGCTGTCCTGGAACTTGATGTACAGACGAGGTTGGCTTTGAACTCAGAGATCCATCAGCTTTTGCCTCCCAAGTGCTGGGATTAAAAGGTGTGCACCACCATGGTCCAAGGATGTATGTTTATGTGTATATATATATATATTCTTAAACATTGGTGGTGTAAGATAGCAAAATGGATTAGATTTTTTTTTTTTTTTTTGGTTTTTCGAGACAGGGTTTCTCTGTGGCTTTGGAGGCTGTCCTGGAACTCACTTTGTAGACCAGGCTGGTCTGGAACTCACAGAGATCCGCCTGCCTCTGCCTCCCGAGTGCTGGAATTAAAAGCGTGCGCCACCAACGCCTGGCTTAGATGTTTTAATAACCTGTTTCACTACCGCTGACTCAAGGGCAGCTTCGCTAACACCCATAAACGGCCCCTAAAGAAGCTAAACGGCACGAAACTAACCAAGCTGGATGGCTGGGTATTTCCTGCTCAAGCAGGAACAGCTAGTTTTCCTGGTGCATTTCAGCAGCTACTCTTTCTCACCCCTAAATTCCTTACTCTTATCTTAAAGTCAGTGCATGTGCCTTTCACATGCCCCTGAAGATCTACCCAAATCCAGCCTCCTCAAGCGCAGATGAATTCCAATCAGTACATCTTGTCAGGATGCAGAGTACAAGTACTAGGTGACGGGGAAGGCAGTGCAGAGGTCAGAAGTTTGGATTCAAGTCCTGACTCTGTCACCAGTCAGGTGGCCTTCACTTGGGCGGCCAAGTAAGTTGGTCAGTTTCTTTTCTCAACCCCCATGCCCCTCCCCCTCCCCCTCCTCCCCACCCCCACAGGTTTTTTGAGACTATGTTTCACACTATAGCCTACAACTCACTGTGTAACTCAGGCTGACGTTAAACTCACAGCAATGTGCCTGTCTCAGCTTCCCCAGAACTGTGATTACAGGTGTGTACTATCATATGTAGCCAGAGAGCTCAGCTTTTTAAAAAGATTGATTATGGCCTAAGGCGGTGGCGGTACACTTGGGAGGCAGAGGCAGGTGGATCTCTGTGAGTTTGAGGGCAGCCTGGTCTACAGAGCTAGATCCAGAACAGCCAGAGTGGTTATACACAGAAACCCTGTCTCAAAAATAAAAATAAAAAGATAATGTATCTTTGGATTTACAGTCTCTGTATATGTGTGGAAGGGGGATAGGACACAAGCAAAGTACAATGGTAGATATGTTTAAAAATGCTAGCCAGGCAGTGGTGGCGCACGCCTTTAATCCCAGCACTCGGGAGGCAGAGGCAGGAGGATCTCTGTGAGTTCGAGGCCAGCCTGGTCTACAAAGTGAGTTCCAGGACAGTTTCCAAAGCAATACAGAGAAACCCTGTCTCAAAAGAACCCCCCCCCAAAGAAAACCAAAAAGCAACAGGGAAATATGAGATTCACTGTTTTACGTTTGCTGGTTTTTAAAGGAAAGGGCTTCCTTTGGCTTACAGTTCTAGGGGATGGTCCACCATGGCATAAGACAATGGCTGCAGGAGGCAGCTGGTCACATGGGGTCCACAGACAGGAAGCAGACAGAAATGAAATCTTTTTTTTTTTTTTTTTTAGAGACACGGTTTCTCTGTATTGTTTTGGAGGCTGTCCTGGAACTCGTTCTGTAGACCCAGGCTAGCCTCAAACTCACAGAGATCCGCCTACCTCTGCCTCCCATCTTTTTTTTTTTTTTAAGTCAAGATGTAACTAGCCTCTAACTAACCATGTAGCAGGTGATCTTGAACTCCTGTGACTTGTACCTACCAAGTGCATTACCACAACCAGCTCAAAGTTGCATGCTTTTCTGGAGCTAAAATATTTATTTTATTGTATGTATTTTGAGTGTAGACGTGCACATATGAAGACATACATGTAGAGGTCAGAGAATAACTTCTGGGAGTTAGTTTTCTTCACCATAGGGTCTGGGGACCAAACTTAGGCCATCAAACTAGTGCAGCAAATGCCTGTGCCCACAGAGTCACCTCACTGGCCCAAAATTTCATTTTCAAATAACCAACTTAAATTCTGATATTCAGAAGCAGCAAAAGCAAATAAACAGATAAGTAAATAAATAGTGGAGACTATGGAGATAGCTCAGAGTAAGAGTGCTTGCAATACAAACATAAAGACCTGAATTCAAATCCCCAACACGTATGTAAAAAGCTGGGTATGGGTTTATGGGCCTGCAAGCCCAGCATCTGGAATGACAGACAGGTGGTTCCCAGAGCTTGCAGGCTAACCTGTCTAACTAGACCAGTGAACTTCGGGTTCAGTGAGAGACCCCTCTCAACCGAATAAGGTGCAGAGTAATAGAGGAGGCCACCTGGCATCTTTCTCTGATGTCCACAGCCATATGCCCAGATTCGGGCACCACACCCTTGCATGCATAGACTACACCCTCCACACACAAAACAAATAGCCAGGTGGTGGTGGCACACACCTTTAATCCCAGCACTCAGGGGGCAGAGGCAGGTGGATCTCTGTGAGTTCGAGGCCAGAATGGTCTACAGAGTTGGTTCCAGGACAGCCAGGGCTACACAAAGAAACCCTGTCTTGTAAAACAAACAAACCACAGCTACGCAGGATTACAAAGGTAAACCCCGAGCTACCTGCATGGGTACAGCCAATCAGGCATTATTAGCCTGTCTTTAAGTCCATACAGTCTTGTCCTAAAGCTGAGAAAACAGAAGCTCAGAGAGACTTTTCCAACACCTCACAGCTGGCTGTGAGCAGCAGACTGCCACAAACTGCGAGAACCTTCACAGTTACTTGGCTTTCCTGAGACTCCACACATTACTGTGGGACACTTGTGCACTTAAGAGTAGCTCAACTTTTTTTCCCCCCCTGAGACAGGGTTTCTCTGTGTAGCTCTAGCTGTCCTGGAACTCGCTCTGTAGACCAGGCTGGCCTTGAATTCACAGAGATCCTCCTGCCTCAGCCTCCCGAGTGCTGGGGTTAAAGGCGTGCGGCATCAGCAGCTTGACTGTTATCCTTAGGGATGAGTGTGAACCAGGAAAGGTCCTTTCCCATCTAACTTACTGCTTGCCTCAGATCTACCCTCAGCCAACACAATCTGTTTATGTATCAATCTTCATGCGATGTTTAACGGGCCTTCGGGGTATAAAAACAAGAAAACTCCAAGCTCAAAGGATGACAGTCAGAAAGGTAGGCAGGAGCCTAGGCTGATGGCATCAAGGTAGTCAAAGGGTGAACTCTGGCAGGTGGTATGCTCGCCCTCCTGGTCTGCTCTGCTGCCTCGAGGTTCAGAAGGCCAATCTCTAAGAAGCAAGACTCCAGGTCTTCTGACTTTTGTCTGAGTCACCAGAAGAAATCTGAGAGCAGGAAGGTCAAGGCACTTATCCTGTGATCTCTCTTTTCAAAGATGTGGTTCTAGCAGAATTTATGTTCTCTGACTGAGGTCACAACTCCTATGGGGACTATTGAGGATCCTGTTTCTTGGCCATAGCTTTGGCTGGGTTCCAATCACACCCACTTTTCCTCCATTGCATCTGCGATGGAGTGTAACAGGTATTGTCTGTTCCTGACAGATTCTTGGTGTTCTACCATCTATTATTGGGCCACTTGACCATTGCAATTGTAAATAATTCCTTTATTCAAGGTCTTTTATTAAGACAGAGTATACTTCTTGTATCCTGTAAGTAGCTAGGAATTGTATCCTGTAAGTAGCTAGGAACCACTGATTTCCTTTTTAAAGTTGGCACAAAGATGAAGGTGGAATAGATTTAGGAGACATGTGGTAAAAAGTTATAATACCAAAAGACAAGGAAAGGCTGGGAAGCTGGCTCAGTAAAGTGCTTGCCACATAAGAATAAGGACCTGTGATTGGATCCCTAGTATTCCACAAAAATCCAGGCCCATGAATTGAAAAAGAAAGATCCCTGGGGCTTCCTGGTTAGCTAATCGAGCTGAACCAGAAAGCTCTGGGTTCAGTGACAAGCTCATCTCTCAAAAACTAAGGCAGAAGGGCTGGGTAGATGGCACAGTG